TAGATCAGATGTCTACTGAGTAGACCCAGAACCCCCATTAAGAAAAAAGTATAAAAAATAATTATGAGGATTCCAAATCTCCCAGATGTTATCGGTGCCTAAGCACAACTGGCTGAAGCCAGGGTATAAGGTAAGTACATTTTATTTCCCACCTTATGTGTTTTTTGGAAAACAGTTCAGTAATACAGAAAATGACCTCGTCACATCTCCTAAGTATAGCAAAACCAGATTTGCAGCCTTTTCATACAGGATTGTGGGAGTGAGGGTTTTCTCTGTGGGAATCAAGGTTAAACACTGTCTTGGCAGTTTATATGTTTGGAATATTTGCTGAAGGATGTTCCACAGTCGAAACACTTTGGCTAGGGTGTTGTAATCTAAATAACTAACCGCGGTCTATATGCCAGCTAAACAGAGTGCAATAACCTGCAGAGAGAGCAGAACAAAGGTTCTGTAAGGGTTTGATCTCCTGGCATTGGCATTGGAGTTTGATCTTCTGGCATTGATCTGGGACAGGAGCAGTTACAACACAACTGCAAAAAAGTTTTTTGGGAGGGATAGAGTCAGGTTTTTACTGTTATCAGTGTGCCCCACTGTAAAGATTTCTGTTGGGAGGATTTTCCTTCACTTCCTGTCATGTCAACAGGACCACAAATTAGAAAGTTTGTATAGCCACACTTTTTATGTTTTAGATAGATTATTGCAAAACGTCAACCTCCTATCTCTTACAGCCAAGGAAGGTGTCATGTTCCTCTACTTGGATTGCTATTGCCATGATGCTGCCCATGTGATTAGCTATGACACCAGCCATTTGAGGGCTTGAAGGTTTGGTTGAGAGTTGAAGCACGCTGGTAAACTTGATGGTTGGCACGCCTTAAAAGTAACTGTTTTGGGGGACATTAAAGGAGAACTATGGGGTTAAGGCTTTTCCCCATAGTTCTCCTTATGTAATAGACGAGCACTGCAGGGACCGGGTGCGGGTGGCCGTCCCGGTAATGCGCAGGAGCAACGAGGATCAGTAGCCCCAGCTCGCCGTCAGAACACGGTGACGTCTGGTGGCACTCTCCGTCGTCGCTTCGTGCGGGCGCGCCGCGGTCTTCCCGCATCTCACCCCTCAGGGCCATCTAGGTCGGGCGCAGGCGCACCGGGGAGCTTAGCCCCTCCAAGACGCAGCTCTCGGCATAAAGCCGAGTCACGGTAATTGATCGGCGTCTTTCCGTTGATCGTGGAAGGACGCTGATCAAACCAGCGTTCCATCGCCTCAACCCCACCAGACCCAGTTCGTCCTTTGAAGACTGCAACCACCACCTTAACCGCAAGTAACCTGGGCTAGGCAACCCATAGCCCCAGGTCTCCTATGCATATCCGTGTATCTGAATCTGTGCCTTACTCTCAGCTGTTCAATATACCTAAACCTATCTGAACCATTTGCATTGCTCTCAGCTGTTCATTGTACCTAAACCTATATGAACCATTTGCATTGCTCTCAGCTGTTCATTATACCTAAACCTATCTGAAACCATTGCATTGCTCTCATCTGTGGTTGTATATTCTAACCAGTTGTGTATTACTGCCTTGCTATAACCATACTTGTGCGGGTAGTTTCCCATTCCCTACTGTGTATACGGGGCGTGATATACCGCAGCCTCCTAAACGCCTAAACATACAAAACTGGGCAATCCAGGGAGGAGCTGCTAATCTGATTCCCGTTCCTTTAACCCTCTCCATTCCGCAGTTGCGATCCATAGAGGGTATTCGGCCCTCTCCCAAGGCGAGCATTACACCTTAGGGTAACGGGAGGACACAAACTAGCGTCCTCCCGTCACCCTAGGCTCAGTATACCATGAGCTGTAGCTCGCAGTATACTGAGACGCCGCAGTATACCGCGAGCTGCTGCTTGCGGTATACTAAGACGCCGCAGCTGAAGCGGATACCGATAATTATGTCTGGATCCGCCCAGCTGCGTGACTGACAGCTGCCTCTGCCTATCTAGGGGCAGAGCAAGCTGTACCCGCCCCCTCCTCGTCCGTTCCGCCAGTCAGCATCGGCTAGAACTATGAGGTGAGTGAAAAGCACTCACCTCATAGTTCTCCTTTAAATTGATGGGTCTAGTTCCTCTTTAATGAAAGATTAGAAGATTAGAACCTCTGCCAAATTAGAACCTCTGCCAAATTGTCTTCTCACTTAATTTTTGCAAGACTGTGCATGGCGAGGAATGAGGGCAGGGGGCACTGGAGATAGAATTGTGCAGGCATGGGGAGTGAAGCAGAGAGCAAAAGTGAACATTTACACATTTCATAGAAATAATGAACAAATACATGGGTTGAGATCTGTACGCTACGTGGAGCAAAAGAGCTACACAGATAACCAGGTAGGTAACAGAAGCCGAGCAGAATTCCATTTGGCGCTAAGCAGGAGGCCACATGGAGTAGATTTGTTGTGAAGGAGGTTTGGTGGAACACAAGAGTTTCTTTGGTAAAAACAGATAAGGGGTGGGAGAGGCTAAATAATTAATGGTTCATACAGGAGGTGCAGCTTTGCTTATAGCATGTCAACAAAAAAGTTGACATTTGTATTTTTTTTTTAACAAAAAAATGAGTAATACATGAGCTGAGAGCCTTCTCTTTCGTGGAGAAAATGGCTTGGTTGAGCACAAGAACGTATTGGGATTGCAGGTGGAGCATATGAGCTACTGTAGGTAGAAGGTCAGCTGGAGGACAGAAGTTAGGCTTGAGTTTAGATGAAGCAGGAGGCCCAGTGGAGCACAGGAACTAAGACGGCAGCCTAGTGGAGCACATAAGCTAAGGAGAAGGCCAGGTAGAGCACAGGAGCTAAGGAGGAGGCCAGGAGGAGCACTGGAGCTGAGCAGGAGGCAAGATGGAGAAAGAGGTGAAATACAGCAGAAGAGCAGATCAGTAGGCCAAGTGCAGCAGACCAGGTGCACAGGAAGCCAGGTGCAGAATGAGGGACAGTAGAGCAGTAAAGCAGATCAGGAGGCCGAGTGCAGCAGAGTAGCTGAATAGGAAGGCAGGTAGAGCAGATGAGCTGGGCAGGAGGCCACGTGGAGCAGATGTGCTGAGCAGAAGGCCATGTGGGAAAGAAAAGCTAAGCAGGAGGCCACACGGAGCAGAATAGCTGAGCTGCAGGGCTAGTGAAGCAGAGTAAAACATGAGATTTCACATGAGATTTCTATGCTTCCCTGGGCTAGACTGACAGGTGTGTTCTGTGTGATTTGTTTTTTTAGTGTTGAGTTTTTGGGCAATAAAATTATTTTGTTTTCGCATTTTGTCAGCTCAAATTGTAACTTTCTTAATGACAAACATCAACATTTTTTTTTAACCATTTTATTTTTGAAAAAAAAAGACAAATATATTTCTCTGTATACACTCTGTTATAGCGCTAAAAATATCTAAAATATGTACAAATAAAATATAAACTAATATTAAAATGTCCAGACTTCTGCTGAATGCCCGGTGTCCTTTTTGCTCATTTGCATTTTTGACAAAAACTCCTGTAGGTTTTTTTTACTGGTATGAGATTCCTGTTCACTTCCTGTCATGCTGACATTTTACCAGGAAGTAAATAGAAATTTCCAACAGCAACACAGACGAAAAAAAAAAGAAGCTTTTAATTAGTAGAGGAACTCTACAACCAGATCAGATTTGTATTTCTGTCTGTGTCCCTGTTGCAGATTTTCCCTTACTTCCTGCCTTGTGATACCGTTGCCAGCAGGACAGGAATTGAGGGAAAATCTCTCTAGCAAAGCCCCAGATAGCAGTGAACATGAAAGCAGTTCTAATCTTTCCTCACACCCAGAGCCGTCCATACAATGAGGCAGCCGGAGGCTATTGCTTCAGGCGGCATATCATTGGGTCATGTGGGCGGGTGGCCCACTTTTTGGCCAGAGCATCCCAGGCTGCTAAGAGTCAGGCAGGGAGATGTGTAAGGACCACAAACCTTTCCCCACCCAGCTCTTACCAACCTGGGACACGTTGGGTGGCATCCCGCTCAGTTCCCTGCAACAAGTGAGGTCACTGGTTGCCAAGAGCTGAGTGGGATGCCAGCCGGAGCTGCAGCCAGAGCTGGGTGGAGAGATGATGCAGATTAAAGCACAACTGGAGGGCCATAGTTGCCCACCCCTGGGCTAGATGATGCCGGACCTCCTCCAGCTAGGAAATGAGGCGGGCTCTATCTGACTTGCTGCAGCTTCTAATGCACATTGTGAGAAGCTCGCTGTGTGCAGTGACATCAGAGGAAGCCATTTCAGTCCAGGAGAGGAGCCAGTACAACTGTGCAAGACTGAAGGGAAGGCCAGAGGTCAGATTTAATAAAAACGTCCTTGCGGCTCAAGCAGAATGTATTTCTTGAGGGTGGGCGGCAGGAAAAGTTGCGGGATGACTTGGTGGTTTCTCTTCCGTAGAAACATGCGTATCGCACATCTGGCCAGGTGCATGAGGGATCGTGGGGTGTTAGTGCAGACTGCGAAGAGAGCGTCATAGAAGGAGCGATGTTTCTGCAATATGTAATGTCAGAGCTGTTATATGTCTAAAACCAACAGACGCCTACAGTATCCATAGACATAAGATTAATGGCGTGTACCTTAAAGTGACACTACACTCAGGAGGTAAATCTTAAAAATACATTCAAGTACCTTAACTATTAACAAAAATGTATCTTATTTGTGTATCACTCGGCTGTAGATCCTCCAATCATCTCTGAATTGGTGCTGACACTGTCCTTCCTTCTGGAGGGGGGCTACTTTTGTTCCCCATATGAGCCTGTGTGTGTTGTAAAGTAGTCACCGCTCCAAGCTCACTCCTGTGATGGATGTATTTTTTTGCCTTTTTTCTATCCTCATAATGCTAATAAAATTAGAAAAAACCTTTTCATTTTCATGACATATCTTTTTTTTTTTTAACCATAGTTTTTTATTCAGATTTTTCACAATACGGACTATGGAAACAGTATTTAAAAGACCACTAAATGATAAATAAGAGAATATAACTAGAGCGGGCATAAGGTAGAAACATGGCCAAAGCCCTACAATTGCAGAGGAGTATCATATAATGACATACTTGACCAATGAGCTTCGTGGGCTCAAGCAATATAGTAAAATACAATGAAACGCGCGTTTCCAAGGGCTATCCGGCTGTATCCTAATGGATACGTTCGGCAAATACGCCCCAAAGAAGCTCCTGTACTTCTTTGGGCGTAGGGCGGTTGGCAGTGGGTTCCTACGCGCTGTAAAACGCCCAGGTGGGAACCATGCCCATAGGCAATCATTGGTTTTCACATGTTGAGTGTTTTATAGTGCGTAGGAACGCGCTGTAAAACGCCCAGGTGTGAACCAGGCCTTAGCGTTAATTGAACTTATGGTTAGCGGTATGAGAAAGTAACAGTGGATGCCTGGAGGTATCGCCACCGCCTCGTAGGGAAGCACTCAAATCAACAATAGTCTCGTCAATGACACTAGACATACGTTCTCTATAGCATTGCAAAGTATAACTGATATCAAATAAATGCACAATATAAATCAAGATTAGTGAACTGATAGAAACATCTCCAGTTGGTAGTAATCTCCTTAAATCTCCTTAACAAAAAACAGTCTGACAAAAAACAACAGAGTGTGTGCGTAGCACACATTAACCTGGGGAAAATAGTAGTTCCAGACGATCAGCGGAATCGGGCTCCTGAGAATGTAAGACTTACACCAGCCGGTGTAAAGCTTGAGGCCCGGTTACCTTTACAGAACAAGTAAAACAGGTCAGCGAACAGACCAGTCCATGGGAACACGTCGTGGAGCGTTGCGTCTAGAAGAAGGTTGCGGGAGGGGAACTTCGATACCCCAGGATTGCAATGTGTTGGCAGCTCCGGCTGGGTTGAGGAGTGGGATTATCTTGCCATTATACGATACTAGGAGTTTGGTGGGGAACCCCCCTCTGTATAGGATCTTGCGTTCCCTGAGCGCTTTTGTAATTGTGACGTATCCCTTTAGTTTCTGGGCTGTGGCAGCAGAGATGTCAGCAAATAGGGAGACTTCCGAGTAGGGCTCCGGGAGGGACACCATTTGCCTAGTGAAAAACATCAGCTTCTCCTTGTGGTGAATAAAATGGATCCTTGCAATCACATCCCTAGGCATACCTATGGCGAGATGTTTAGGCTTGAGAAGCCTGTGAGCCCGGTCAATGATCATATCAGCTGGCAGCTGGTTAGGAATTACGGAGTAGATCAAACGCTGAAGATATCTAGGAAGATCTGCATTACTAATTGATCTAGGGATTCCCATAAATTTGATGTTATTGCGTCTGGATCTATCCTCTACGTCCGCAATCTTATCCTGCAGCTGTTGAATCAGTTGCCGCTGATCTGAGTGTGCATCAACCACATCGTTAAAGGATGACGCATATTCGCCTAAAAAAATTTCTATGCGGTCTGTGCGATCTCCTAGGCCAGCTATCTGGCACTGCAAACTCTGTATGGAAGATTTAATAACACTCTGGAGCTCTGTGCGCAGTGTTAGAAGCATCAGTTTAATGGATGCTTCAGATGCAGGGTCTCCAAGGAGAGTGCTGCGTCATAGGGGCCTTGTGATACTGCGGTAATACTGGTCGACTGTTTCTTGTTCATGGGCCCTTTGGATTGTGGAGAGCTCAGCGGTGAAGTAGCTGGGGGTTTTGAGATCTCCTTCAGAGGAGTCGTCAGGGCAACTGTGCTCTCCTCCATGTCAGATTCATTACTGCCTGTGGAGTCGGCATCAGATGGCCCCCCTGCTCGAGATGCCGAGGCGCCATTTTGTTTACCTGAGGCTGGGGCGAAAGCGGATAGAAGTCCATGAGTCTCCTGGGACCCTTGGACGTATTTTTTCCTTTGGACATGACTGACGGGGGTATCGGTAACCGGGCAGGTGAGTAGTGCGGTCAGGCTGATGATTACGTTAGCAGTATGTTGCGATTGTAACGGATCCCGAGGCGCAGCTCTGGATCAAGCGGCCATATTCCTCGGCAGCCAAACCACGCCCCTCCTTCATGACATATCTTATTGCGCACCCCATGAAGTCATCACTGGGTCTCCAAGCTTCTCTATGCAATGCAGGCAGATCTTGGCTGCGAGGAGGGGCACCACATCACCCTGCCTCAGTACTTCTCTCAAGAGCCCTCAGCTCTCCCTCAGCTGATGTTGTTGTAGGGTTTCATGGGTCCGCCCCTTGAGTGGGCATTACCAAAGCACGTTTAATTCACTGTGTATTGATGCAGACAGTGGTGGTGACGCCATCATCACAGCTCTGCCCTTTGTATCTCCGAGGACTGGCAACCACTGGAGAAGCTTAGGAGAGGAAGAGGACCCAACAGAAGACATTGGAAAAAAGTAGTTATATTTTAAATAAGTATAAAATAACACTGGAAGTGGGGCAGGATTTGGAGGGGGGAGGGGTGCACAGAGCCTAGAGTTGTGCTTTAAAATTGTTGCAATGACAAATGTTTCAGCATTGTTTGGTTTGGTTTGTATTGGTATGACACAAAAAAGTGGAGAAAAGAAAAGCCAAATCTGACACATTCCACGCAAAACTCCAAAAATGGACTGGACAAAATTATTGGCACCCTCAATTAATATTTGGCAGCACAGTCCTTGGAAACAATAACTGAAATCAATGGCTTCCTGTAACCATCAATGAGTTTCTTACACCTCTCTACAGGAATTTTGGAGCACTCTTCTTTCTCCAACTGCCCCAGGTCTCTCAAATTGGAAGGTTCCTTTTCCCATCTGCTGTTTTGAGATCTCCCCACAGGAGCTCTATGGGATTCAGATCCGGACTCTTTGCTGGCCAGTCCAGTACTCTCCAGCGCTTTGTCTGAAACCGTTTCTGGGAGCTTTTTGCTGTGTGCTTTGGGTCATTGTCCTGCTGTAAGACCCATGACTTCTGACGGAGACCCAACTTTCTGACACTGGGCCCTACAGTGCACCCCAGAATTCTTTGGTAGTCTTCAGATTTCATAATGCCGTGCACACAGTCAAGACATCCATGGCCTGAAGCAACAAAGCAACCCTAAAATATCAGTGAGCCTCCACCATGTGTGACTGTAGGGACTGGATTACTTTTCTTTAACCACCTTCCGTCCATGGCCGTTCGTGAACGGCCGGACGGAAGTCTGCTCAGAGCGGGTGGGCGTCTTAAGACGTCCTGCTCCTCACCCCCTCTCGTGCGCGCGCTGAGCGCCGCACACGAGAGGGAAAATGGCCTGGCCAGGAATGGGGTGAAACACTATGGCCTTTAAGTGGTTAAAGGCCTCGTTTCTTTCTCTGAAAGCAGTAGAATGATGGGCTGCACCAAAAAGCTGTGATTTTGTTCCGTCTGTCCACAGCACATTCTCCCAAAATGATTTTGGCTTCCTCGGATAAGTTTTGGCTTTTTAATGTTTCTTTGTCAGCAGTGGGGTCCGCCTGGGTCTCCTACCATAGCGCCCCTTTTCATTCAGATGGTGACGTATAGTGCGAGCTGACACAGTTGTATCCTGTGCCTGAAGGTCAGCTTGGATTTGTCTGGAAGTTGATGAATGGTCTTTATCCACCAATCCAACAATCCTTCGTTCAGGGAGATCAGCTACAGTGCCACGGGCTGGAAACTTCTTGACAATGTTGCACACAGTGGACACAGGAACCTTAAAAGAGAACTATGGTGTAAGTGTTTTTCCTCATAGTTCTCTTAAGGGTCATGGGAAGACATATACTAGCGTCCTCCCGTGACCCAAAGCTCAGCTACAGCTCGTTATATACTAAGAGCGCCGCAGCCGGGATGGATCCCGACAATGCTGCTGAGATCCACCCAGCTGTGTGAATGACAGCTGGCTCTGCCTATCTAGAGGCAGAGCCAGCTGTATGGAGATTGGTGATGCTTTCCCACAAAAACTTGGAATGCAATTATTTCTTGCAATTTGGAGAAGGTGCCAATAATTTTGTCCAGTCCATTTTTGGAGTTTTGAATGGAATGTGTCAGATTTGGCTTTTTTTTTTTTTATCCACTTTTTTGTGTCATACCGAAACAAACAAAATAAATATACATGAGAATGCCTAAACATTTGTAATTGCAACAATCTTCTGCGTGAAGTGCTGCATTATCTGATGCAGGGGTGCAGGGGTGCCAATATCTTTGGGCCATAACTGTATAACTGGACTCATCAGTGTTCATTTTATGAGTTCCTGGAGATGAAGCAGTAAGCTTACAAGTGGTGACAGTGCATCCTGGCTATGGCAGGGTCACCAGTCACCTCGGCTATATATAGAAGTCATATATATAGTATAGTCATATAACTGGCTGCATGGTATGGGGGGGTGCAGCGTACTGACAGTCCATACACTACAAAGAACACAATAAACAATTGGATGCAGATTAGCAGCAATGGTCTCTGCCCACCAAGCATTGGTATCACGATGCGCTATTATATTTTCAGGTCATTGTGAATTCTTCACTTGTCTTTACAAGTCGGAATGAATGAATGCATTCCTGACATGTCACAGTATTCAGCAGCATTGTCATTTTTCAATAAAGCTCCACTTTAAGTAATTGACGCTGAACTTCAGACAAATAAAAAAAAACATCCAGCTCTGTATTCCATCAAAACTAATGATGAATGATTGTTATTTGTACATACAACTAGTACGAGTACCTAAATATCTCTTTATATCAGCTTTCTGTCACTCCCTGCACAGCAGTTCTTCTCACGATCTCATAATAGAGGTTGGACCGGCACTTGGCACCAGTCAGGATCTGCTGCATGCACAGGAGCTGAGAGGGGGCATGGTAACAGGAGGAGAGAACAGAGCTGATGAGTTGGTGTGGGGCTGTTTTTTTATTGCAGGTTGCAGGCCGGGAGGTGACACTGCTGTCTTCTAAAACTGTAACTGAAAAAATGGTGGCACCCTCCTGGCTATGCTTTCTGGTAGAGGTTAGACATGTGCGATTCGTTTCGTTACGAATCGAAATTCGTACAAATTTTTCTGAAATTCGGAAGCATCCGAAATCCGAATTGCAGTTTCCGAATTATATCCGAAATACGAAATTCCGTTAACGAATTTTGGATCCGAATTTCTTTGAAACAGGAACTAATATTACCCCTGTAAATGAGGTTGAACAACATGACAAGATTTTTTTTTTTATCCGAAATACGGATCCGCTGCTGCTGAGGGTTGCATTACAACGCAGGCAGGAAATACGAAATTCCGTTGACGTATTTTCGTTCCGTTACGAACATTCGTTATATTGAAGTTAAAAAGCAAAGTACATTTGTTAATATACTGGAGTTACTTGATTGATGGTAGTTTTTTTTAAAATCCAAAATCCGAAATTCGGATACGGAATTCGTATTTCGTTTGGTTGACCAATCAGAGGTTTTCTCTTCTGCTGCTGACAGTTGCATTACAATACAGGCAGGAAATACGAAATTCCGTTGACGTATTTTCGTTCCATTATGAACATTCGTTATATTGAAGTTAAAAAGCAAAGTACATTTATATTGGAGTTGATGGTAGTTTTTTTTAATCCAAAATACGAAATTCGGATCCGGAATCCGTTAACGGAATTCGTATTTCGGATAAAAAAACAACTACCACATCGACTCCAATATTAACAAAGATATTTTTGCTTTTTAACTTCATCATAACGAATGTTCGTAACGTTACGAAAATGTGCCGAAACTAACGAAAATCCGTATTTCGTACGAATCCGAATTGAGTTTCGGACACGAAATACGAAATAACGGATATTCCGAAACGGAACTAAACAAATTTTTTGAGGGGCCCTGGCACTCCACCACTGTACTTAAAATCAATAGTTTGTAGTGTTTTAAGAAAACATTAACAAAAATGTATCAGTATCTGTGAGTACTTGGACCAGTATCAGTACTTGTACTTGGTCTGGTTTGTACTCGGTCTAGTCTTGGAGCTGGAACATTCTCAGTACTTATACTTGTAGCAAATAGTATTCTTGGTATCTGGACATTCCTACTAACAATCATAATCATCATCATTGTAATAATATACCAAAAACACTGAGGGGAATTTATGAAAACTGGAGCAGACAGAATCTGGAGCAGCTGTGCATGGAAACTAATCAGCATCTCTGTTTCATTTTCAAATCTTAACTGAGCAGACTGAAGAGAGAAGCTGATTGGTTGCCATGCACAGCAGCTCCAGATTTTGTCTTCTCCAGTTTTGATCAATTCCGCTCTGTATATATAACAATAGCTATTATTATAGTCATTACTATTATACGTCTTTCTCATTATAGTATACATCATATATTATACATATGTTTAATGAATAATTTATCAGATATATATAAATTACACATTTTAAAAAACTTTGCTCCTATTCGTTACCTCTAGGGCATCTTCGGGAATTGCTTTTAGCCATTGGTTTGTCGCTGTGATGTGTTCATAGGCATTGGCCATCACTTCTACCGCTCTTGGGTACGAGTAACATCCTTCCAAGACCTGCATATCAACCATTTGGTTTAAACAATATACAGAATACATTTCAGACTTTTGATGTAATAAAACCTTTATTTACACTGAGTGGCCAGATTATTATGACCACCTGACGTTTGTAGGCAAATTAGCTATAATTTGGCGCTGAAGTTGCTAGAGGGCCAGACCATTATAAATAGGGAAGCAGGTTGGTTACCACGACAGTAGAAGTGATTTGTTTCTGAAGATTCGGGGAAACAACGCGATGTAACAGCCTTTGAACGCGGGATGATTGTTGGCGCTCGGAGCCATGGAGCGAGTATCAGCAAAACAGCAGAATTCGTTAAATGTTCAAGAGCAGCTGTTGTTAAAGTGTTTAAAGACTGGACTGTCAGCCGAAAATCTGGGTCTGAACGTGCGAATTGTGGCCGTCAGAGACTAGTCAATGTTAGGGCAGAACGGAGAGTGGCAAGACTGGTACAAGACAACAGAAGGGCAACAGTGCATCAAATTAGTGGTGTCAGATTCCTCGCATCACCTTTCAACATCTCAATGCCAAGAAGAATCGCCGCAGTATTGAAGGCAAAAGGTGGCCCAACGAAGTACTGATGGTGTGGTCATAATAATCTGGCCACTCAGTGTATATGTACTGAATCTAATATAGGTTGCTTACGTTTTTCCATTATTTTAATAATAATTCAATTAAGAAAAAATAAACTAAATATACCTTATGGAACTGTGGTGGGTATATCCTGGCTGCCCCGTGATTCAGCAGAAGCTGGTAGCAGATCTCCGGCTGGCCCACTGCCCTCACACACGTCACTTTTAGCACATACTGCTGGGAGGCACATCCATTGCAGTCCATAGCATTGGCCTCTGCTCCGGCCTCCAGAAACATCAGCATTAATACGTGGTCGCAGTTCCATGCCGCTTTGTGTAGGGGCGTTTTTAAATCGAGATCTCTGATTTTGACATCAGCATCATAGTCCAGCAGCATCCTGCAGATCAAGTGATGCTTGTCGCTGTACTTCTGCTCTTTAATATTCAGGGCCCAGTAGGCGGCCGTGGCCAGAGGGGTCTCTAGGTTGGAGTTGGGACTGTCCACCATGGCACCGTGGTTGACGTAGAAAGCCACCAGCTCAGGAATCCCGACTCGGGCCACGGTATGCAGTGGAGTTTCTTCAGTGTGGTTGTTACTTTCCAAATTAACATTGGCTCCTGAGACAAAAAAGTTTAATTTATGGGTTTAGTTCCTTCATGGGGTATACCAGTTGGCAGAGCATGATCATCCACAAGGCAACCTGAAACCTTGTGGATGATCATGTGGCAGGAACCTAGGACCAGGTGGATGTCCAGGGAGCCCGACCACAAGCTTCTGCCCCTGCAGTAAACTAGGAAGATGTAAATAGCCAGAGCTGTGCATCTGTCATTTTACCAGGTAGAATGTGCTTGGAGGCAGTTGGTATGTGATGGGACTATGCCAGTGAAGATAATGCAAATGGTGCAACTTCGCTGTGTCTACTGCAACCCTAATTATTGTCAATTGACAGGATGGGGGGACTGCAACCTTTCCTAGGGCTCTATTCTCCCATAATCCATCTCTGGCAGCTTTTCACGACCCTGCTGTGTGTGCCCCTACTGGGGAGATTTCCCCTCATTTCCTGATCCAGATACTCAACATGAAGTGGGAGGAACTCTCTCGGAAGGGTAAATCCCACTTTTCCCATTTGTTACCATGGATGCTTGGGTGCTTTTGTGGTACTCGCTGAACAAACAATAATTTCATATTTGCTAGAATTTGGGCAAACATGGTCTCTAATGTGCTATGTGACATGGCTTTGTTGATCATGACAGGTTAGCGTTCGTGCTCGGGCCCCTCTCTCTTGCTCAATATTTAATGTCCTGCTACTAGCTTATAATGGGCTGTTTTGTGCACAAAAGCAGCTCCACAATAGTTGAAAGGAGCTTCCATAACCCTCAGGAGTTATCAGGAACAGAAACACATGCAGCGACAGCTCTGTGCCTTAAAAATTACTTATAGCCTTATTAAAGTATGTTAGGTATATCCACAAAAAATATAAAAGTGATAAGTGTACATGCAGTGTCTAATGAGGTCAAACACCCACATTGTACCAGACAGCCAGGGATCCCGCTCATCTTTTCTAAAGCTGCATTTGCCTTGATTGAGCTTAGACCAGGCTTTTTTTTTATCCATGGTATAAATCCATTTACTCAAACATATAATGCAGCTTTGTAATGCTGACATATTCCCTTTAGTCTCGTGAAAAGTGATACACTGCATGACCAAAAGTATGTGGACACCCCTCCAATTTTTTTGACTTCAGGTACACAAAGTAAGCTTCATAAAGATATGGTTTGAGTTTTGGTGTAGAGCAGGAGTAGGTAACCTCGGCTCTCCAGCTCATGTGGATCCACACGGCATGACTCCCAGAGGAAGAAGGATGATGGAATGTGTAGTTTTCACCATAGATAGAGTGGCTATATCTGTTGTAGAGGGACTTTGGTGGCCTGCACAGAGCCCTGACCTCAACCCTACAGGACGCCTTTGGAATGTTGATTGTGAGCCAGGTCTTCTCTTCCAACATCAGTACCTGAACTCACAAATGCTCTTTTGGCTGAATGGATGACATTTCCCTCAGACACACACTCAATAATCTTATGGAAAGCCTACCCACGAGGGTAGAGGCCACAAAAGGGGGACCAACTTCATATCAATGGCCGTGGCTTTGGAATGGGTGTCCAACAAGGTGATATACGTGTCATAGTCAGATGCCCACATACGTAGGCCATATAGTGTGTTATAAAGTCCCCTTCATGATACAATGAGCTATGTAGTGCTTCCGTTCATGGAGAATATACCTGTAACTCATCTGATTGCAATAATCTGATTGGTTGGCATGCACTTTGAAAATCCTAGTGGCACTTTGCGTTCCCTAATGGAATAAGCACTCGCAGTGACTAGATTCAGAAATACCATCTCTCTTACCAGCCCACACCAGCTCTTTGGCGCACCTCACCGACTCCCTGGTCTTGCAGTAATGTAGAGGAGCGTGCCCGCTCATAGAGAAGGAATTCAGTTTTGCTCCGTGGCTGACCAGGATCTTCACACATTCTAGGTTCGCTACTTCACAGGCCACGTGCAATGGTGTTTTCCCGTTCGGTTTACTGTTAACAGAGGCATTGTGTTCTAGCAAAACCAACAGACTCTCCAAGTGCCCCCGCATCACCGTGATGTGCAGACCTGTCGCCCATGACAATGCCAGTTTAAAACTGGGCAGCCAGTAACCTAGTGATATAAAAGGTACATTAACGGGAACAGCCAGGAGTATAAGTTCTCAGGATAACTTCAAGGCTCTCTACCTGAGGAGGCTGAAAGCAAGGGGTCTAATTTAACCACTTTGCAGTGCCATTTGCCCTGCACATCTTTCTGAACATTTGTTCTGTATGAATAGACACAAAAATGAATGTTCTTCGATATATATTTTCTTTAGGTCGAATGACTGCAAAACTGCATTTTGGCCACTAGATGGAGTGGAGGAGCATAGGAATTAAGTACATAAAGAGAAACTTTACCCATATCTTCAAAATAACACCTTTAGAAATATTTAGTAATGACAATCTACAAACAGATACTTCTAGATAATTGGATCATTTTTTTTTTCTGCATACTTTTTTCTTCTCCAGTCTTCTCACAGTGGCCATTTTAACTAAGGGCAGGTTACTAGATCACCTCTTACTTCCTGGAACTCTGGCACATGTGACTAGGACATGTGACCATGCATATCATCTCAGGGGAGGAAAAGGCCTTTCCCTGAGATCTCGTGAGATTACAGATGAGATTTCCCAGCAATGCTCTGCTGATGTAATCTTCCCAGGATGCAATGCTTGGGCACAGATCACATCACTAATGCCCAAGAGGACCAGGAAGTGGAAAAAAATTAATTGTAAGTAAAGAAAAATATGTTTGTTTAGCTAATGAATGTAAGATGATGTCGTATCAGCCTGCAGAGCTGCATGTTGATGTGATTTTTAGTCAGAGGGGGTAAAGGTCTGCTTTAATTCATATGCTATTCAGCTCCATCTAGTGGCCAGAAGAAAATATATATTGGAGCGTTCATGTTTGCGTCTATTCGCACAGAACAAATGTTCAGAAGCATGGGCTCTGCAAATTGGTTATAAATAGACCCCCTAAAGGTTCCTTTGATTTAATCACCAAAGTTTGCTATAATCCCAGGGGTGTCCTGTGCCCTAACCCTCTCTCCCTCCAAGTTGTTAAATAAATTCCCTTCAACCAAAGATCAACAGTATGGACGTGAATTAATTGGTCCCTACTAGGTACTTGGACTCTATGGACAGGGCCGGAGCTGCCACTAGGCAAACTAGGCACCCACCTAGGGCGCAATGCTGTCTAGGGCGGAGCCTTGACCACTCACCCTTCCCCTTATTTCAAATTGCAAAAGCCAACAGCAGGCTGGCTATTGCACCCCCCCCCACTGAGCAGGAGCAGTACTAAGAGCCAACTTCCTCTCTCAGGTCCAATCATCTGCTCAGTTGCTGGTGTTTCAATAGCCAATCTGCTATTGGGTATTTCAAATGAAAATAGCCAAAAGCAGTCTGGCTATTGACCCGGCTGCTTACATCCATCTATCGCCTGTGGAAGCTAGCCGGCAAGAGAATGGGGCCGTGCACCCTGTCTATGGATCAGTGAACCAAAGACAGGCTAGGAGGGCCAAATACAATCAGTGGTTCTTTTCAGGATGAGCACTACATCAGTATTACAGAGAGCAGTGCTGGCCTTATGAAGGGGGTTTTATAAAACTGATTGTCATTAAACTCGGAACACCCAGCAGTAAAAACTGACGGAAGCTTCTAACTCTCCTGTAGGCTGCAAGTTGTAAATATAAAATGTCCACATGCAATATCTTTTACTTGTCTGGCTATAACAAATAATATAACAAATACAATTTAAAAAAGTATCACACTGCTTAGTTGTGAGCTGAGAAAAATGGTGGAAGTCTACTGTGGTTAGCAGGCCAGTTCAATGAACTCAAAGCACTTCAAAGCAAAACTTCAACGAAAAATAGCACAATACAAATCAATAGCCCATTAAATTATAGCATAACAAAAATCAGCTTTTGCTGCAATCTTTGCTCTCTTCTCCTATCAGCATACTTCTTGTCAGCACATGAACTGACTGGCTCCAGAAATACACTCTATTGCCAAAAGTACTGGGACACCCCTCCAAATCATTGGATTCAGGTGTTCCAATCACCTCCATGGCCACAGGTGTATAATGTCAAGCACCTCGCCATGCAGACGCTTCTACAAACATTTGTGACAGAATGCGTCGCTCTCAGGAGCTCAGTGAATCCCAGCGTGGTGCCGTGATATGTTGCCACCTGTGCAATAGGTCCATCCGTGACATTTCTTTGCTACTAAATATTCCACTGTCACCTGTTAGTGGAATTATAACAAAGTGGCAGCAACTGGGAATAACAGCAACTCAGCCACGAAGTGGTAGGCCACGTAACATGACAGAGCGGGGTCAGCGCATGCTGAAGCGCACAGTGCGCAGATGTCGCCAACTGTCTGCAGAGTCAATAGCTACAGACCTCCAAACTTCGTGTGGCCTTCAGATTGGCACAACAACAGTGTGTAGAGAGCTTCATGGAATGGGTTTCCATGGCCAAGCAGCTGCATCCAAGCCTTACATCACCAAGTGCAATGCAAAGCGTGGGATGCCGTGGTGTAAAGCGCGCCGCCACTGGACTCTAGAGAAGGGGAGACGTGTTCTCTGGAGTGACCAATCATGCTTCTCTGTCTGGCAATCCAATGGAGGTGTCTGGGTTTGGCGGTTGCCAGGAGAACGGTACTTGCCTGACTGCATTGTGCCAAGTGTAAAGTTTGGTGGAGGGGGGATTATGGTGTGGGGGGGTTTTGTTTTTATCAGGGGTTGGGCTTGGCCCCTTAGTGCCAGGGAAGGGAACTCTTAAGGCATCAGCATACCAAGACATTTTGGCCAATTTCATGCTCCCAACTTTGTGGTAGGAGTTTGGGGATGGCTCCTTCCTGTTCCAACATGACTGTGCACCAGTGCACAAAGCAAGGTCCATAAAGACATGGATGAGCGAGTTTGGGGTGGAGGAACTTGACTGGCCTGCACAGAGTCCTGACCTCAACCCGATAGAACACCTTTGGGATGAATAAGAGCGGAGACTGCGAACCCGGCCTTCTCCTCCAACATCAGTACCTGACCTCACAAATGGTCCAACATTCCCATAGACACACTCCTAAACCCTGTGGATGCCTTCCCAGAAGAGTTGAAGCTGTTATAGCGGCAAAGGGCGGACCAACCCAATATTGAACCCTACGGACTAAAGGTGCCCATACACATTGCAATTATCATACGATAATCGCGGGAAATCCAGCGATCGTACGATAATCGCAAGGTGTATGGAAGGCGTGCCACCATTCCTACTGTACGGTCGCACGTCTTTTGTCAAACCAGCATGCTAGTAAACCCGCCGAGAATCGTACGATTGTCGGCGGGTTTTCTAGCATTCTGTTTGCTAGCGTTTCTGGCCTGCTCAGTCGACAACTGCGGAACGGGCCAGTGTGCGCACGCACACACTGCCCGTTCAGCATTGCGGTCATCGGAAGCCTGCCCCTCAGCGGGGCGGGCTTTCGATAATCGCAAGTACGATCTGCCTGTCCAAGATGGGCAGATCGTACAAGCTTTTAATTAGCTTACAACCATCGCAAGACAAAAGTCTTGCGATGGTTGTAAGGTGTATGGGCACCTTAAGACTGGGATGCCATTAAAGTTCATGTGCATGTGAAGGCCGGCGTCCCAATACTTTTGGCAATATAGTGTATGTAACAATGGGAAGTATTATGTAATACGGGGTATAAGTGCCTAGTCATCCTCCCATTATCAATCTCTGACATGCAGCTCTGGCACACCACAGGTATAACTCCACACATGGCACAGGCTGCGCCAACCCGTCTTACATAGTCCAGATCACATCGATGGTCTTATATGACACTGACCTATCAGCAGCAGTGTACAGACCTTAATAAATCCTTCACATCAGTCTCTGCTGACCTATTGCAGCTTTAAGTGTGCAGACCACAGGCCAGTGGGGTATATAAGCTTCTCAAATATAGGAGAAAATAAGTAAAAATGGGGAGAAGAAAACAATTACATGCAAATAATTAAAACAAAAACAAACAATGATGACATGCATTCTACCTACAACTGTCATACCCTACACAGCAACACTCGGACTGAGGGACTGGCTAGTCAGCCTTTGCTGCATGTATATGTACTGGCAGGGAACTTGTTGATTGGAGGGGAGAGCAATTGATTAGTTATTAGTGTGTTTCTGCTTCTATATTGTGCAGCCAGCAGGCTGTGGGCAGAGAAGTGACACCACCCTGTTCCTTAACTGTAACAGAGAATGTGGTGTCACCCACCTGGCTGTGTTGTCTGGTAGAGGCAACCAAAAGTGGCCAGACAGAATTCCAAATCATTTTGCAGATAAGGCAGTTGACGTATATGTATTCCAACTTTCCACTAAGCTGGTTGTCTTTAAAGGGACGCCGTCACCTTGCTCATGCGTGGCAAAGTGACCATGTCTCTGCAAAGGGCACCTGTGACCCGCTTATACTTACCTTACCTGCACCCCTTTGGCAGCTCCTTCCACCGTCGCAAGCCAGTGGCACTATCTGGGAATTTTACATATGGAGGAGCATGTGGCCTGCACCCCTGTAACTCATCCTAGCAGTCCATCATTATGCTCAAACGCTGTCACATGACCTAGGGAGTGATGTCACCATTCCCCTGGGTCGCCAAAACTGCTGATTTCCGTGCCATCTGCAAGGAAGTAAAGAAAAGGGGTGAGAACAAGCAAGGGGGTCAAGGGGACACCTCTGCGAAGACACAGTCACTTTGCCCTGCACAAGCAAGGTAACAAGGACACTTAGGGGTTGGACCCAGGACCTCAGTGCTGCAAGATGACATCACCAACTGTGTTCATTTATACCTGCTTTGTATGAAGCCAAAATAAGTTTGTCATCCTCCACTTCGAACACCGTGTCCACGTCTATGTTCCCCTCATTGAGCATACTCTCCACAGCGACGTAGTCATTCGATTGCAGAGCCTTCAGGAAAGATTCTTTCAGGTTCTTGTTGGACAGGTAGCAAGGATACCTCTTCTCGCCGTATGCATCCATATCCTCGACCCGCAGATGTATGCAATCACGGCTGGATTTAATACACAGGCATTTGTGACGTCCACTCTGTATTGAATACACTGACAAGACTGAGTTGGGGTAATTCTATCGTCTAGTCATGGCTCCACCATCTATTTATACATAGCCTGCATGCAAACTAATTATAGATGACACTGACCCATCGGCCTGTCAACAATATCAATAAGGCGCTTTTTACCTGACCGAGTGAATGTCGCAGATCTATTATCTGAGGGTTCTGAGGGTCTGGGGACAAATGGCAACTTCCCTGAAATAAATCTTGAGGACAGAACCTGGAACGTCAGGTTTCGTTTTTAAAAATTAATTTTTTTAAACCCCTTTATGACTGAGGCCTTTTTTTTCATTATTTGCACCCATGTTATATTCCACATTTTAGGCCTGAAAATTACTGAAAACCCCCAAACATTATATATTCTCTGAAAGCCAAGACCCTATAAGAATAAAATGTTGGCAGTTGCAAATTTTTATGTTGCACGATATTAGCGCAACTCCTTATCAAACCCCAAAATTTCGTGTAAAATGTACTTAAATGCCCCAAAACACTATAAAATACTCATTTTTTAAAATAAAATATAAAAGATGAGGTTACACCGAGTAAATAAATACCCAACATGCCCAGGTTAAAAATTGTGTGCGTTCGTGAAATGGCGACAAACTTCTGTACTCCAAAAAGTCCATAGACGTCGCTTTAAAAGCCCCCACAGGTCATTAATTTAGAGATACCCAAAAATACTGGCCCTAGAATTATTGCTCTCACTCCGGTGTGCGCAGCAATACCCAACATGTGTAGCACGTTTGTCGTTTTCATACGTAGGAGCACCCAATGCGTGTTTACGTGGCGACGCGCGTGCTCGCGGGGGACTTTAAAAATATTTTTTATTATTTTTAGATTTATTTTATTTAATTTTAAAAACTGTTTATTTTTATTTTTTTCACTTTACTTTGATTGCTATCACATAGGGGGGCTTACAATCCCCCCATAGCAGTTGGTGGTGACAGGTACTCTTTAAGGTGATGCTGGGGGTCCAAAGGACCCCCAGTGTCACCTTTACACTAGAAACAAGCTATTGAAGTGCAGATCGCAATCTGTATCGCTCCTGGTCCCATAGAAAGGGGAGGGGATCGACGAACGAAGGTACGTCCATCTCCTCCTTAGCTCCCCGCGGACACCACAGAAGCCGGTCCCGGGCCCGTAGGAGTGGCAACGGAGCCCGGCAAGCCCCCCGCTGGGCAAGGGGGGGGGGCCCTTCACAGGACTCTAGAAGTGATCTGGTGACAGCTGAGTCGCCAGAATCGGTTCTATTGTAAAGCCGACAGTCGGCTTTACACGTTTAAACAGTGTCCCAGCGGCAAAAGCCGCTGGGAGTCTGTTTAAGCAGCCCCGATGCTGGCGACGTACACTGTATGTCGTCAGTCGTGAAGGGGTTAACAGTGATTAGGCTACAATAGACATTTTTAAGGCTGCAAAAAATAAAACCAGCCTGCCTGTCTCCAAGTTGCTCCATTGTCTTCCAGCTCCCCTGTGTTCTTGTGTCTTCTGTTATCTTTGCTGGAGTTCTGACCCAGATTGTTTGTGACCACTCTTGCTTGCTGCCTGCCTTCTGACCTTGGATTGTTTACCGGACTTTGCCTCTCCCTCATCCTTTGTACCTTGCCTGCCTGACTGGTGTGACCCCTGGCTTGTTTGACCCTGATTTCGGATTCTGCTCTGCTCTGCTCCTCACCAAGCACCTGGACTCCAGCTTGCATGTCGTGAACACCACTGGCACCCGTGCCACTCGCTGTCTACTCATACTCTGTCCCCAACTCCAGTGTCCTCAGGACACGAGGTGCAAGGGAGGCCTCTTTACATAGTCAGTCTCCAACCAGGTACGTGACACTGTCTGTCTGTCTGTCTATCTATCGAGTGAGAAACTTTATTTTATATTAATTGCTAGGTATAAATTTAATGACTGTTTAAAGGAGAATTATGAGGTGAGTGAAAATCAATCAGCCTCATAGTTCTAGCCAACCTGTGAAAATGAAACTGTCACAGGTCGGCTCAATCGATTGGGAAGTGAGCGAACCCATACCGTCGCTCACTTCTCGATCCTGTCCCTGCAGAGAGCCGTGACTTTCACTCGCGGCTCCCTGCAGGGATTCCCCCCTCCCCGCTCCGATCCTTGAGCGCTGACTGGAGGAACGGATGGGGGAGGGGGTGGGTACAGCTGGCTCTTCCTCTAGATAAGCAGAGCCAGCTGTCACTCACGCAGCTGGGTGGATCCAGACAGAATTGTTGGGATCCGTTCCAGCTGCGGCGTCTCAGTATACAGCTCGCGGTATACTGAGCTTTGGGTGAAGGGAGGACGCTAGTTTGTGTCCTCCTGTTACCCTTAGGAGAACTATGGGGGAAAACACTGACCCCATAGTTCTCCTTTAATAAATAATCGTACTCATTATTTACATTTATATTTGCCTAGACTTCGGCTTTAACACAGTAATGGAAACATGGAACAGCAAGCATGTAGAAATGTGAAAGCCAGAACAAATATTAACTCAAGATTCACATTACAATAATAAAATGCACCGGCTGAATGTATGCTCTCAATGTCCTTACATGTCATGGATTAGAAAAATAAAGAGATTCTCTCTCATCCAGCCAGCATTCCTTTCTGTGGGAGAACTGAGCCCGCGTGATGACATACCAGCGTAGATCTTGTGTTCAGAGAACAATGGAATTAAAAGAATCAATTAAAACAGAGATGTGAACTGTGTGATCTCACGCAACCAACCTTGAGCGGTTCAGATAACAGAGTCTTGTAGCTAAGACAAATGTGAACTTCTGAACTCCAGTTGGATGGAAAACACCATTTAATGCATTAATGTGTAGCGCTACCCCCGCAGGATTATAGCGGGTATTTCTTTCCTCCTGCACCAATGTACCGCCCAAATGTGGATCCACAGCACACCAAAACACCTTTAACCTCCCTGGCGGTATTCCTGAGTCTGGCTCGGGGTTCATTTTCAGTACCAAGAGCGGTAACCCCGAGCCAGACTCGGGAATGCACAGAAAAGTGTCACTTACCTTGTCCCTGCGAGCCCGCGGCGTCCTCTGCTGTACGTGGCCGGCATCTGACTTTTAGTTTCGTTTTCGGGTGTCACAGCCGGCGGGAAATTAAAAAGTGAAAAGTTGCAATGTACACAGAATACACACAATACAATGTAATCTGCTATGATTACACTTATGTATCAAACTATTTCACTTCAATTTTGTCCCTAGAGCTTTGTCCAGTGCCCTGCCTGACACTTTTTCACAATTATAAGAAATTATAATATAATAATAATAAAAATTGTCCAGTAAATGGGAATTCTGGGGGTGTTGCCTGATCCGTACCACAGTCAATAGAGTACCAAGTTCGCACATCACTGAGCTCGGTCGCAGAATCGATGGTGGACAATATGGCCGCCTGCGTGTTCTGAAAACAAATTTATGTAGGCCCGAATATCGTTTTAGTATATTCGGGCATATATTAAATTTGTTATTTCGGATTTGGACGAACCGCCGAATAGACTGATTTTCGTTGATTTGCAGGTTCATCCAAATCCGAATGCACATGTCTAGTTTTAACAACCACATTAACCATGTGTGGGGATCCTGGTGAGCTTTGTGTATTTCTTCCAGATCTGTTCAGTAATCCTGTGTGACACTTGGAGCTTCCTGTAATAAAGACCGGTTACTGCTGCTCTCTCTCTTTGTGCAGGGTCACTGATCTTGTTTCTGCCCCATCCTATAGTTATCTGCGGGCAATCTGTAGTGGGTGGGGCCTGCTGGGTCCCTCTCATGGCTCTGCTCTCTGCACAGGCAACAGTAATATCACTGCTACTTTTACAAGGTAAAACTTGGGCTTGCAAAATTGATTTGTATCCTTTGTGTCTATTGAGGAATATATTTACATGAAAATATTTGTGCCCAGAGTTCAGCTTTAATGTTGCATTCGTTTTATCCTTTCATGATACAGTGGTACCTCGGTTCACGAACTTAATTTGTTCCATGATTCTGGACGCGAACCGAATCAAACTGTGATCAGACCGGGATCTCGACTAGAGGAAGCCACGAGGAAGCAGGGAAGATAGCTGCGGTTGTGTTCATCACACGATGCGGACTTCGTGAACGGAAGCAAAATTTTGGCAAACTTCCTGTTCGCGAACCGAACTGTTTGCCAACAGAAGCGTTCGTGAACTGAGGTACCACTGTACTGTAACATTGTCATAATCCAGGCAAAATATTCACACTCAGTAGATATAAAACCTGACATTGATACACAGTAACATCTGATACAAATACAAAGTGTCCTCTTTATACCAAAGTCTTTGATTGAGACAAGACTTGCAGCCATAGTTCATGTTACAATGGTATCACTCCCAGAACACAAACAGGACTGAAAGCTTATCAACATCCGGCTCACATGCAATCTGCTTGCATTTTTCTACTCACCGATTTGCCTTGAAAAGCTGTATACAATATACACAATGCAACCGGTGGGAAATAAAGGACTTTTCATGTGTCATTCATTGTGGTACACAGATGACCTATGGGGTATAAGCCCTGCCTATAGGACTCTTGTACCCCCAATCAGCTCCATGAGAACGGGATTTTATAGTGAGTATGTAATGCTCTCTGTCCTCAATTCTAAAACTAATGACATCCAGATGAATAACAGGCCACATTGTCTATGTCCTAAACCTACTTACTTGAAAATAATGCCCCAGGCAGGTCAAGCTTTGGGTTGGTTCTTTCCTCGTGGTAGAATAAAGGGTAGGTGCCAATCACTTTGAAGATGAACATGGAAAAATGTATTTGCAGACTGCACAAAGGAAGGGAAGGAAGGTGGAGGGGACACATGGTAGCCAAATGTTGCTTGCCAGCAGGCAGACTCCGATCTTCTGCAGACCTTTCTAGACTCTGTCTTCCGGGTCTCACAGGCTGTGCTGGTTAAAATACACACCCAGGACTTGGATCATTGGAGATCAAGGTTCTAGTGATCCTGGGATTCAATGGACAGACAGTTGAGAAGGTTCACGTGGTGGGGGGACAGCCAAAGTTGCTTCCTCTAGGCCAGACACATTATCTTCCAGCAACCAGCATCTTCAGGAGAACTTCTGGGAGAGGAGACTCCTGCTGCAACTAACCAGTAGGCCCTAAGACCAGGGAAGAGAGACAGCTCACAGCACCATCCTCTCAGGATGGTTGCATTGGTAGCATTTTACAATTATCTTTAGGGATTCTTTAGTACTGAGCATGAATACAAACTAGGGGTAATAAAGAATTCCCTGGACCAGGACCACACTTGGTCCTTGAGATGTCATTGAAGTACAGACTGCAGGGAGCGAGGAGCGTTGGAGGCAGGAAAGACTGTGTGCAATCTGTACTTTGATGGCATCTCTGGGACCAAGTCCATGATCCCCCCAGACTGAACCCCCATATGGTTGCAGGAGGAAAATCAACCGCAGATTGAACAGCATGATAGTATGAATGGTAGGCAAAGAGCCAAGGAAAACTTCCATAGAGATACAAGCTGAACTCCAAGGTCAAGGTACTTCAGTGTCTTACCACACCATCCTTTGCTGATTCATTGGCAGTGGGTTCAAAGGAAGAAGACGCAGGAGAACGCCATTGTTGAAAGAAAAACATACTGTAATTTCCTAAAATGCATTTTGATAAGCCACAATGCTTCTGGGAGAATGTCCTTTGCCCAGATCAGACAAAATGTATCTTATTTGTGTATCACTCGGCTGTAGACCCTCAAATCATCTCTGAATTGGTGCAGACATTGTCCTTCCTTCTGGAGGGGGGGTGCTTTTGTTCCCCATGGTCCCTGTGTGTGTTGTAAAGTAGTCACCGCTCCAAGCTCGCTCCTGTGATGGACTACAATCTCATGTTTAGTTTACTAATTTGTATTGAGATTGTAGTGCATCACGGGAGCGAGCTTGGATCGGTGACTACTTCGCAAAACACACACAGGGACCATGGAAAACGTAGCCACCCTCCAAAAGAAAGGACATTGTCAGCACCAATTCAGAAATGATTTGAGGATCTACAGCCGAGTGATACACAAATAAGATACATTTCTGTTAATAGATACGATACTTAAATGCATTTTTAAGATCTAACTAAATGAGATTAGTGTCACTTTAAATCTGTAGAGGGCAGAATCAAAACTTTACAGTATCAAGAAATTTGTGAGCGAAGCATACTGCCCTCTGTCTCAGATGCAGGTCATGGGTCCCTCCAACAGGATAATTACCCAAAATACACAGCTGAGTGCATACAAGCAGGGCCGGATTTCCCACAAGGCCAACCGAGGCCCGGCCTCGGGGCAGCAGGGGGTGGAGGGGCAGCAGGGGTGTTTAATTCCTATTTCCCGACGCCTGGGACATGCAGGTCTGGGCACCGAGTGGGTAGTTGTTTTCTACATTTAGCCCTGCTTTGGTCAAGCAGAGCTAAAAGTACAGCGGGGAAGCCGCAGCTTGTTTTGTACAACTGATCCCGGCAATGTCGCCAAGATCACTTGTATGTACCCTGCATACAGGGGGGCGCATCGAGGAACCTGGCCTTGGGGCAGCAGAGAGAGTAAATCCGGCCCTGCATACAAGAATGGCAAAAAACAAAACACATTGGACTTTTCTGAAGTTGCCTTCTATAAGACCTGATATAAATCTGATTGAACATATTCCGTTAGAGCGGAAACATGCAGTCTGGAGAAGGAACCCTTCACACCTGACACAGCTGGAGTAGTTTGATTAAAGAGAGTAGACCAAACTACCTGGTTGGCAGGTGCAGAAGTCTGATTGAGAGCTACAGAATTTGCTTGTTTGCAGTGATAGTTTCTAAAGCTAGCCATACACCTATAGATTATCTGCAGACTTTCTATGGTCAGATGGAAAAAGTGCAACAGATTCCTCCATCTATGCTAAACTGTGTGGATGGAGGAATCTCCCGCTGGGCCAAGATTCAGTATCTTGCTAGTCGGCCCCGCTGGCTCTCAAAATACCTGAACAATCTGATTGGATGCAGGCATTGTTTAGGTATTTTGAGAGCCAGCGGGGCCGACTAGCAGGATACTGAAGCTTGGCCCAGCGGGGGATTCCTTCATTCACACAGTTTAGCCAAGATGGAGGAATCTGTTGCACTTTTTGTAGATAATCTATAGGTGTATGGCCAGCTTAAAGGAGAACTATGGGGCCAGGGCTTTTTCCCATAGTTCTCCTAAGGGTAACGGGAGGACACAAACTAGCGTCCTCCCATCACCCTAAGCTCAGTATACCGCGAGCTACGGCTTGTGGTATACTGAGACGCCGCAGCCGGGACGGATCCCGACATTACTGTCCCGATCCACCCAGCTGCGGGATCGACAGCTGGCTCTGCCTATCTAAAAGTGAGGTATGTGTTCGCTCACTTCCCAATCTATTGAGCCGACCTGTGACAGTTTCATTATTACAGGTCGGCTAGAACTATGAGGCTGAGTGATTTTCACTTGCCTCATCGTTCTCCTTTAAGGCCTCATTCACACGAGAAAAAGCCGGCACGTACAGCTCCATGCTGCGTGCACGGCCTTATCGGGCAGCTCCTGGGAAGGACAAGTGCTGCGTGTAATTAGTACGCAGCCCCTGTCCATCTCTATGGGAGTACGCGGCTGTGCGCCACCCTATGCTCACCTGCCCTGCACGTCCGTGCGGGTGTCCGTACTCGTACGCTGACAGGATGGATCCTGTCTGTGTCCGAGCCGGGACACCCGCACTTGTGGTGAGCGTAGGGCGGCATACGGCCGCGTACTCCCATAGAGAATGACAGGGGCTGCGTACTAATCACACGCAGCCTCTGTCCTTCCCGGGAGCTGCCCGATGCGGTCGTGCACGCAGCATGGAGCTGTACGTGCTTTTTCTCGTGTGAATGAAGCCTAAAGGTTGTGCAACAAAATATCAGGTGAAGGGTGCCATCATTTTTGTCCATGCCGTTTTCATTTGTTTGATTATTTAACACATTCCGTTGAATCGAAAATCAAAAGCAAAGTCTGATTTATATGAATTATGGAATAAAGATGGGTTTTAAAAACACAAAACTGCAGCACATAGGTGTGAACCAACCACATAAGTAAAAATCAGATTTCTACCTAAAATACATGCAGCAAATTTCTGCAGGACGAATCTTTAGTCTGGAAAATGTGTTCTCGTGCATTGTGCAGGGGATAGCAAATCAGCAGCAGAGGGAAACATGTAAAAAGTTCCTGGGCTGACGGACCCGCCCTGTCCAGCTCTCTGAGCTCTTCCTATGTAGATCGCAGTACACAACAACATTGCAGACATGGGGAAACTGCTGAAAATAACGCTCATTGGCGTCGCCCTGGCCCTTCTAGGGGAAAGGATAGCGCATTTCATGTAAGTTCCCTTGTTACTGTTACACTTTAGGACTGGCAACTGTTTGTGAAATGTTTCTTGCATGGAATAAATATCTGGTCTCGGAGCAGAGCTGTAATTAGGAATCGCAGGGCCCCAGAGCAAAGTTTTGGTGGCGCCCCCAGGGTAACTCTCTTTGCAGTAGCTGGTATTGTTAACGCAGATGAAACTTGTCATGGATTGTAACATAAACTCAAATGTCTATCGAGGACAGGCAACAGGAGGAGGTCAGTATAGTCCTTTGTGCTTGGATGAAAGTTGTAGTTGTAGCAACAATAAGAACTATAACCATAAATATTTATATGATGATCCTGCACACAATTATTCTGTAACCCTAAAACAACTTTTTTATTTTTGTAGAACTACAGACCTTAGCTCCGGGATTTGTGACTGTATTAATTACAGGGGTTAATTTCAAGCTCAGAGGGCGTTAAGTCTACACTGCTAACCCAGATAAGCACATGTTTCACACTGTACCTATGTGACTATAGGGAAGATCCTGAGCTCTGACTTCAGTCCCCATAGGGGCCGAGTGGGCTGCTATGGCCTTTACACCACCATCTTTGTGCTTTCTAATAGCTTAATGCAGAGAAGAAGGCAGGCTTGTTCACATTTAAAGGGCCAGTACGCTTAAGAGGGTCGCATTGGGTTTCTTGCTGTTTTTAGGATGTAGACATTTACGTTCCAGGTGGACAAATTTGCTGTGGTCATCACAAAGGGGTCTTGTTTTACCTGTTTTTTTTTTTAATACTCCTGGAAATTGAAGCAGCGAGTGGCCATATGGAAAGGTGAGGTGAGGGGGGGCGAAATAAAGGAACTTTGACAGGCATCTTTGACCCCAGAAGCAACGTAGAGCAGGGGGTAGGCAACCTCGAAAATTCAGCTGTGTTGAAAATACAAATCCCATCATGCCTCTGGGAGTCATCCCTGTGGATGTCAGGGTCTTGCAATGCCTCGTTGGACTTGCAGTTCCACAACAGCTGGAGTGCCGAGGTTGCCTACCCCCGAGTACTCTGATAGTTTAAGGTGCACCTATCCCCATTCTGTATTTGCTAACCCAGGAGAATCACTTGGAGGTACATGACTGTACATTTGGGGCTCACGTGATGTTTTCCTCCATTTGAAGTGTATTTTAAATGATAGTCTGTGGACTCCTATTTACTTAAAAGAGAACTATGAGGTGAGTGATTTTCACTCAACCTCATAGTTCTAAGCGACCTGTGACAATGAGACTGTCACACGTCGGCTCAAAAGATTGGGTAGCCTTGACTGGAGGAACGGACGGGGGAGGGGGCGGGTACAGCTGCCTCTGCCTCTGCCTCTAGATAGGCAGAGCCAGCTGTCCCTCTCGCAGCTGGGTGGATCTCGACAGTAATGTCGGGATCCGTCCCGGCTACGGCGGTCTCAGCATACCGCGAGCTGTAGCCCACTATATACTGAGCTTTGGGTCACAGGAGGACGCTAGTTTATGTCCTCCCGTGACCCTTAGGACAACTATGGGGAAAAACACTGACCCCATAGTTCTCCTTTAAGTGGTGTAGTGTGGATGACAGTTCTGAGGCTGCATTTGACCTGCTGTGCGTTGCGTTTTTTTGGATGCAGTAGGTCCTATTGCGATGCATTTCAACTACATGAAAAACACGTCAAATTAAGCCTTTTGCTGTGTTTTGTGTTCCAACGCATGTCTGCATTTAAATGCAAAAGGAAGTATTTAACACCCTTCACCATGAGGCCTTACATAGCTGATAAAGTGATCCCTTATTATTACTATTATTATACAGGATTTATGGGTCTATTCACACTAGTATTGTGATGAACATGCTGGATCCATGCGTTTAGCACACGGTACTGCATGCTAGGTGCATTACGTTGCCATAGACTCTCAACGGCACCCTAACACACCTCCCAATGGACATGCATTACAGCACCATGTAACGTGCGGCAGCACAAAAATGTGCATTGAAAAAAAGTAGTACATACCCGTTGGGAGGTGCATCGGGGTGCCATTTAGAACTCGTAACACAATGCACTGGAACACCTAACATGCGGTACTGTGTGGCAGTATGTGCTAAATGCATTGATCCTGCGCATTTAGTGTAACGCTATACTGTAGTGTGAATATCCCCTAAAGCAGTGTGTTTGAGACACTAGCACACACAAGGGTGGCTCCATAGGACCCTGCAAGGGACAGGAGACACTCTAAAACAGGATATCAGGGCCAGTGCTCACGGGACCAGCTGATTCTGCAGGAAACTAACGCTTTTAAACAACAAGAAACAGCATCCATTGTAAGTGATTTCATCAGCATTTTAGAAAGCTTAAAAACATGTTGACTTTAAAGGAGAACTATGGGGTCAGTGCTTTTCCCCATAGTTCTCCTTAGGGTAACGGGAGGACACAAACTAGCGTCCTCCCGTTACCCTAAGCTCAGTATACCGCGAGCTACAGCCCGCGCTATACTGAGACGCCGGAGCGGATCCTGACATCGATGTCGAGATCCGCCCAGCTGTGTGAGTGACAGCTGGCTCTGCCTATCTAGAGGCAGAGCCAGCTGTACCCGCCCCTCCCCCGTCCGTTCCACCAGTCAGCGCTGGAGGACCGGAGCGCGGGGGCGGGAATCCAGCCCCAGAGATCCGTGACAGGATCGAGAGATGAGCGAACGCCGGTATGTGTTCGCTCACCTCCCGATCTACTGAGCCGACCTGTGACAGTCTCATTGTCACAGGTCGGCTAGAACTATGTGAAAAGCACTCACCTCATAGTTCTCCTTTAATATCACTTTAAGGTTGAGTAAAGACACCGGTTTATCCGGTTCATCCTGTGAGTGCGTGTGCATATGTTTGTGTGAATAGATTGTGTAGCTTAAGGTCAGTCAACGACAAGGGAGTTGCAAAAGTCGGGGTGAGAGATAAAAGACGAGTGAATTTGTAGCTTGGTTCTTTCATTGGTTATTGTTGAAATGTATCTCTAGGCAAAACCTTTTTTTTGGCTACACAAACAATTCCGTAATCAACAAAGTAAAACTGTGCAGTCTGCGTTTAATACAAATGTGATGAATGTGCGCCGAGAGTGACATAGGGATTGATATATGTCATGGCTGAGATCAAAAGTAAAAACTATTTCCTGTGGAAACCCTGGTGAGGATTGCCATGTATTTTGCAGATGTTGCAGGAAGTGGGGTTGAGGCTGATTGGTGGCTGCAATTCAGATTTTTCTTTTTTCTGCTCGGAAGGATGAAACTCTGCAAAGATTTATCTCAGCGGCTGATGCAAAGCCATTTGGGTTGCAGACACTTTTCCACACCGGTTGCATCTGCTCGTTGTAAGCCTTCTGGTCTATATATACACACTGAGTGGCCAGATTATTATGACACCTCATCAGTACTTCGTTGGGCCGCCTCGTGATTCCATGAGATGATGAAAGGTGATGCGAGGAATCTGACACGGCACTGTTTCCCTTCTGTTGTCTTGTACCAGTCTTGCCACTCTCCGTTCTGCCCTAACATTGACTAGTCGCTGACGGCCACAATTCGCACATTCAGACCCAGATTTTCGGCTGACAGTCCGGCCTTTAGACACTTTAACAACAGCTGCTCTTGAACATTTAACTAATTCTGCTGTTTTGCTGATACTCGCTCCAAACCTAACTTTTAGTCTGGGCGACCATTGTTTCTGGTACATAAAGTGAATTTAAAAAAGTTGTCACTTAAACAGGAAATTAGTGCAAATCTAGCAATGGGGGCACCTGTTCTGTTGACAACTGTCTAAGATGGGATGCCCCCTCCCTTTTGTAGAGGTCCCCTATTGCCTGCTGTACCTCTCAATTGGAAGTGAAAGGAGATCTAGCAGTGAAGACACCTGCTTTGGTGACAGCTGTCTAAGATGGGCTGTCCCCGCACTTTGGAGAGATCTGCTAGTCACTGTGCCTCTCAACAGGAAGTGAATGGAAATCTCCCCAACAACAACAAAAAGGAAAAACGTTTGGCCTTGCATGCACTTTATGTATTGTTTATCTCCTCCTGGAGCCCTTTCTTGTTATCCTTTCCTGAAAGGGTTTCTAAATCCTCAGTTTTTTTGCATATATCTACTGCTATTTTTTTTTCCCCTTAACTTTATTGCTATCACAGAGGGGGCTAAGAAACCCCTATGTGATAGCAAAATCAGTGACAGGTCCTCTTTATGGAGACATCAGGGGTCTCCAAGACCCCTAATGTCACCTAGGACCCCCCTGAAGAAGCTGATGAAGCACCGATCTGCTTCATCAGCTTCTCTCCAGCATCTGAAGCTGGAGAGTGACACGAGGATGCGGAAGTGATGTAATATACACCACTTCCGCATTCTGACAGCGGAGAGGGGACCGGAGGGAGTTCGTGAACGACCTCCCTCTGATCCCCTGTGACAGAGGCAGTATGCTGGTCCCAGGCTCGCACCGGACACAGCGGAGCCCGGGATCAGCATGACAGCGGGAGGGGCGCACATGCCGGGACCCCATACAAGCGATCCGCCGGCTCTATAGCCGGCGGATCGCTTGCATGTTGACAGGCATCGCTGCCGGTTTTTAAATTATGTCTTTCCCGCTCGTGCGCACCGCGCACGAGTGGGCGGGACTAACAGGACGTGTATACACGCCCAGTTACAGCCAAGAAGCTCCCGGCCGGCCGTGTACACACAGGAGGTAGTTACCCCGTCTTCGCCGCGCGCTCCCGGCCGAAAATCCGAAACTGCTCGGATGGCCGCAAAGCATCTTGGGGCGGGCGCAGTTCGGATTTTCGGCCGGGAAACGAGGAGAGACGCAAGGTAAGTGTATGGACGCGTGCACCCACATGCAGACACCGTGGGACAGGAAGTGCCAGCAAGGACAGAGGAGTCAGCGCTGGACGGAGACCCGCCGCACCGCTGGAGAGAAGGCTGAAAAGGACAGGAAAGAAGATCAGATTAAGAGACATCATTTAAGGTAAGTGCTGACATTAACGTTTGGGGGAGGGGAATTTTGACTTTTTTTTTACTTTAATGTCACTTTAATTGTTTCACGGAATGTTTCACACGGACTCTCGTTGGCTGTGATAATGGACAAAAATGTATTTTAATTGTGCACCAATGTGCGGCAAATTTTGCTGTCCATGGTGATGTGACAGATGGGCCTGAGAAGGGGTAGCATAGGCTCGGATCTTATAGGAAATTATAGAAACCGTTGTATGACAGCTGTATCCGCCTGTCAATGCAGCTCTCATACAATCACTTCTTCTGTACTGGTTGTTTAACATCCGAGAGGAAATCCGTCCTCCTCAAAAGCTGTCAAAGCCAGTTATCATCAGTGTAAAAAAAAAAAATCTAAAATTAAAATTTTTGAGCAAATTATTCAATATTTTCATGGTATCAAAATAATGGAGCGAATAAGAAGGCTATAAGGGTTGTAAACTTGTTGTGTAACTTAAAGTGACATTAAACCCTCAGATTTTTTAACATAAACCAATACTGTAATGTGCGCCTTACTGTAATCCATGGTAGTTTCCCTTCTCTTTGCTGCTCTTCCTTTTAAATCCTCATGTCTTCTCATGCTTGGGAAGAACTTCCCTTTTCAGCTCAGGGCCTCTTCCTGTAGTGCTGGCTCAGGTTTCAAGCCTATACAAACCTACACACAGACACCGTGAATCCATTCCTGAGACAAGGCAGTCTGCTGCAAAACAGAAGTTCTGCAGAGCATGAGAAGAGATACAGATTTAAAGGGAAGAGCAGCAAAGAGAAGTGAAACAACCATGGATTACAGTAAGGCGCACATTACAGTTTTGTTTTATGTTAAAAAATCCTGAGGGTTTAATGTCACTTTAAGTTAAAATAGTTTTCTTTGTAACATGTCTTCCATGGAATATTTACAGCCCAGGTAGAGGTTCTGGCTGCCACAGCTGGTAATTAATAGCTTGTACGGGTAACGCTTCACCCACAATGTCAGCAGATAGCTTCCAGTATGTTGGTCAAAGCAACAGGTTCACTTTAAAGAAGCAAATGGAGAAAGGTCACATGGCCCACTATACCTGGAAGCACTGCACATTTCCTTCCTGCCGGTGCTGCACAGAGATGCAGGGGAGCAAGGGAAGGTTAGTATGCTGGGGATGGGATAATTAAAGCTAAACTCTGGGGTAAGTAAATAAATATTGTTGATATACAAGAACCCTGTGTATTCGTCCTTGAATCTTGTCGAGCTTTGTGTACTTCTTTCAGATTTGTGCAGTAATCCAGTGTGAAACTTTTTACAGTGCAGGAGCTTATTGTGCCAGAGCTTCCTGTTATATAGACAGGTCACCCTCTCTCCTTGTGCAGGGTGACTGGTCTTGTCTCTGCCCCCTCCTGTAGTTTTCTGCTTGCAGACTGTAATGGGTGGGGTCTGCTGGGTCCCTCCCACACCTCTGCTGTCTGCACAGGCTATGTACAGCACAGTGATTAAGTCACTGCTACTTATTATACCAGGTGATATGTGGGTTTGCAATGGCATTTGGGGGAAAACAGAGTGGAATCATATCCTTTGTAGCTATTGAGGAAGAAATATAAATAACATGTGCCGAGAGCTCAACTTTAAAGCAAACCTGTTGCTATATCCTGAATGAGTAAACGCAAGTTCTGTTTTTTATTAGCTGCAAGCAGTCATTGTGGTACCTTGATAGACACAGGACTACAGGTTATATTGAAATGGGGGTGCATTTTGTTATCGCCCTACATGCAACTGTTGATATATTGTATGGAACTTTTATGCAAAATTGTCCCAGATATTTAGTATAAAGTGCCAGGGACAAAGTGCTGTAGCCCATACACGTCCAACCAACCAACAAAATCTGACTTCACTGAAGCCCGCTGGCACAGGATGGATTCTGTTTTGTTGCTGTGTGTACTTTGTGATGCACTTTGCCCCTTGCACTGTGGGGCAAAAAAGTATTTAGTCAGCCACCAATTGTGCAAGTTCTCCCACTTAAAAAGATGAGAGAGGCCTGTAATTGGCATCATAGGTAGACCTCAACTATGAGAGACACTGTACATAGATATTGTTTTTTTATTCTATGTGTTCGCTGTATAGGCAGACAAGAGTCCCTGACAACCAAGACAAAAATATCATCTCACAAAGGAGTTTGTCGGAAACTGTTACCAAAGTTGCACAACAGCTCTGCACACGTTTCAGGCGGGGATAGTTTATTTAAAAAGGAGTCCGCTGGAAATATCATTAGCTGCTGATAAGGGAGTAGACGGGCCCAGCAGGTGGAATGCAAGATAAAGCTTGTTTGTTTTAGAAAAACAGCACACATTTTATGTTTTTCATGACACTGCTAATGCATATATAAACCCAATCGCTAAAATATTTTAGGAGGGTGTTATGACTTGGTTCACTTTTTCATTTTTTCTTATTTTGTTGTGAAAAGGTGAACTTACCCTTTTAAAGGGTAATTCCACTTATCCAGGTGAATTCGGGAAAATGGAATTACCTCCTCCAATCTGGCCCCCTCTCACCATCCCCGGTATACTTACCTTTTGAGCAATCACTTCTTCCCCTCCGCCGGTGCGGGTGTACTATGTTAGCAAGAAGCGCTTCTACATTGGTCAGCGTGGTCAGAAGCACTTCTCATTGGTCAGCGTGGTCAAAAAACGCTTCTCATTGGTCAGCATGGTCAGAAACCTTCTCATTGGTCAGTGCTGCCAGAAGTGCTTCTCATTGGTCAGCGTGGTCAGAAACGCTTCTCATTGGTCAGTGCTGCCAGAAGTGCTTCTCATTGGTCAGCACAGTCAGGGGAGTGCTTACCATTTGCAAGCGAAAATTTGAAGTTCAGAGTGCAGAGCTGCGCTACATGGCAGTACGGGGTACGGACAGTAAATCCACACCAGTGGAGGGGAAGAAGCATCCATCCAAAGTGGTAATTCCATTTTCCCCAAATTCACCTGGGAAAATGAAATTACCTTTTAAATAATACCTGGTGATATTGCCATTAAGGTCCTTGTTCAGCCACTTGCTGAGAATGTGACTACTTCAGGAAGAGCAAATTCCCTAGCACAATCCCCCTTCCCTCCTTTCACGCCATAGCCCTCTCCTGCTCTGTGTTTTTTCATTATAAGGTGAAAAATGTGAAATATCCTTTTATTTTACACAACTGTTTTTTAAATACATTTATTTTCTAATCCTATAATTGTAGCTGACATTGTACTTGTGCAACTGCAAAAAGGGAGGCCCTGTACCATCAAAGGGTTGGGGAGATTTATAAACAGACCTCCCAACCTACATGCGATCATCAGTAATGGCAGTGATGGTGATCAGGAACCACACTGCTGCTAGTCTAATCCCCAGACTGAGACCTTGTCACTTCACAGCTGCTTTGTAGATTAACATTCACTCAGCACAGGGATCTGTATCTGGGAATGTTATTCTGCATATTAAAGACTTCTGGGGGTTAATCTGCTTCTGAATTGCATTGAGCTGGTTCTGAGTTGCTTTCGCATTTACATTGACCTTGTATGGTGGGAAAAAACAAAACATAAGTAAACAAAAGCTATATACAGGAACCTTAACCCATCAAATAATATTATGTCTGGACATGTACAAACCCTAAAAAACAGTGAGGGCCAGCTGATTATTGCCGTTGCTGGGATGCATTTGTAATGAATGTAATTTGTTTTTCAGGCATCGCAACGTCATGTTTAGAGAAATAGAACCTGTTGAGCTTCCAAACTGTCAGCTCCTGAATGGCATCGGTATGTACCTGATACTTTGCAGCAGAAGGGTAGCGTGAATTCACAAATAGGGATGCACAGATACCAGTTCAGATACCAGTACTGATACTCGGCATCAGGGCCGTAGGAAGGGCGAGGCGAGTGAGGCACTCGCCTCGGGTGCAGGCTGGGTGGGGGCGCAGCCAGGACGCTGGTATTCACCCCACCTGCAAACTACCCCACCTACATCCTTAAGGGCCCAATCACACCATAAGGAGTGCGTTCCAGTGCGTTCAGCCTCTGGAACGCACTGGAACACAACCCGGCCAGCTCACTTTGTTTTGGGGCGGGAGGGGGCGTGGCAGTGCATTGAAGTCAATGGCACTGCAGCCATGTCCCCCACCCACAGTGCGATAGCCGTCGCCCGAATGTGTGGCACATCAGTGCCTGCGTTCTGGTCCAGTGCGATCTGCCAAAATGCTGCATGCACTACTTTTTTGCAGATCCCACTGGACCGGAACACAGGCACTGATGTGTCACGCATTCAGGTGACGGCGATTGCACTGTGGGTGGGGCGCATGGCTGCGGTGCCATTGACTTCAATGAGCAGCCCCACCCCCTCCGGCCCCAAAACACCGTGAGGCCCAATCACACCATAAGGAGTGCGTTCCAGTGCGTTCAGCCTCTGGAACGCACTGGAACACAACCCGGCCAGCTCACTTTGTTTTGGGGCGGGAGGGGGCGTGGCAGTGCATTGAAGTCAATGGCACTGCAGCCATGTCCCCCACCCACAGTGCGATAGCCGTCGCCCGAATGTGTGGCACATCAGTGCCTGCGTTCTGGTCCAGTGCGATCTGCCAAAATGCTGCATGCACTACTTTTTTGCAGATCCCACTGGACCGGAACACAGGCACTGATGTGTCACGCATTCAGGTGACGGCGATTGCACTGTGGGTGGGGCGCATGGCTGCGGTGCCATTGACTTCAATGCGCAGCCACACCCCCTCCTGCCCCAAAACACAGTGAGCTGGCCAGGTTTCGTTCTAGTGCGTTCCAGAGTCTGAACGCACTCTTGATGGTGTGACTGGGCCCTCAGGCTGGGACCCACTGCTCGCGAAGCAGCATGGAGCGGTGGCACGCTGCCTTCACGTGCAGTGTGTCATGTAATTTTGTCTCCGACACGTCCACTTGCAAGAGCACGCATAGCTGAGCGTGCTGAGATAAAAAAAATTCATCTTCAGCCAATTGGCTCGCGCGTATAAACCCACGCGTCAAGATGCGAAGGCCATTCGGTTATTACGCGGGAGCCAATTGGCTGACAATGCAGTCCTTTATCTGGCCGCGCTCAGCTCACACACTACATGCGAAGCTCCATGCCTGACAGCTTTGCTCTGCACGGCTTCGCAAGTAGTGTGTCACAGGCTTAAAGGAGAACTATGAGGTGAGTGCTTTTCACTCAGCCTCATAATCTGAGCCGACCTGTGACAATGAGACTGTTACAGGTCGGCTCAGTAGATCGGTAAGTGAGCGAACACATACTGGCGCTCGCTCACTTCTTGATCTAGCCCTGCAGAGAGCCGTAACTGTCCCTCACGATCCCCCCTCCGATCCTCCAGCGCTGACTGGCGAAACGGACGGGGGAGGGGGCGGGCACAGCTGGCTCTGCCTCTACATAGGAGCCAGCTGTTAATCCCGCAGCTGGGCGGATCCAGACAGAATTGTCGGGATCCACTTTTTAAAGTGTGTTTCAATCCAAATAAATAGATTTAATTCGGAAAGCACTATTAGTGATACCTTATTTAACTACACTGTAAGTTTATATTTTATGAAGTTGTTTTTTATGTTAAGTTACATATCTTTATGTTTCTTATGTAACTGAAATAAAGGATTTAAATATCATTAATTCCTTGTTATTTATTTAGTTTCCTCAAAAAAACATTGGGTGGGGGGGGGGCACAATTTTCTGTTCTTGCCTCGGGCGCAAAATAGGCTAGCTACAGCTCTGCTCGGCATTTTCATGAGAACTACCAGGGTTGCAGCTGGGACCTGGCTCTAGCGCTCCACCATTGTCCTGAAATCGTTAGTGTGTATTGTTTTAGAAAAACAGTCACATGACAATAAACAAAGATTTCAGTAACTGGTATCTGTGAGGACAAGTATCAGTACTTGTACTTGGTCTGGAAAAATGGTATGGTTGCATCCCTATTATTAGGGATGCACCGATACCGAGTATTTGGGCGAGTACTTGGCCAAATGCTCTGATATTTACCTCCAATACCAGAACCAGTGCCGAGGGAGCATGCAGCCAGCTTCCTGGTTTCATGATCCCTGCTGAAGGAGAATAGGGGAAGGTATTCAGGCAGCTCATCCAAAACACTGATCCTCCACTTTGGCAAAGACCACCTGACATGAGCACAGAACTGTATGAGGCCAAAGCACTAATTTTTGCAAAAATCACTTGCACCTCTCTTACCATTTATGGATTCAAGGGCAAGATAGTCAGGATGTGGGAGGCAGTTAACTCACTATAGGCCTTCACTCTGATATGTGAATATGTAATGTATTCCTTTATTATAGAGTATGGATCTGAAGACATTGAAATTCTTCCAAACGGGCTGGCATTTATCAGTTCTGTAAGTATCATTGGTTTTTACAATGTATTATTCATTTCCCCAGCAAAGGAGCATTCATTCTGCCAGCTTCTGAGATGGGAAAGTAGGCACTAGCATTACCATTTTAGACAAAAAAAGTTGACAGACCATCAATAATTCATAAATGTTTCCATCCACATACAGTGACCTACAATGGCCTACAATGGCCTACAATGGCCTACATTGGTGAACAAAAATACTCAACACGCTCTCAGTGTTTTGAAGGTCCATGTAGGACAAAGCATCAGGTCCTATAATTGCCTACCCCCTACCACTGCCTAGTCTCACATTCCATGGCCTGTTAAAGCAAAGAGAAATACACTCTAAGATCAAACATTTGTGGACACCTGGCCATCACACTTACCTGTATGGCCAAAGGTATGTAGGCAACCCTCCCTCCAAATTATTGCGTTCAGGTGTTTCTGGTGAAGGGTCCTATTAATGCTACAGCATACAAAGATAATTGTGTGCTTCCAACCTTGTGGCAACAGTTTGGTAAAGAACCTTTTCTGTTTCAGCATGACTGTGCCCCTGTAGACAAAGCCAGCTCTATAAAGACATTGTTTGAAGAGTTTAGTGTAGAGCAGTGGTTCTTAACCTGTGTACCTCGGGACCCACATTTGTCCTTGGTAATTATGTTCTAACCCATGACAGACATATCTGCTCTGAGCCTGATGAAGGGGACCCTGTGTGGCCCCGAAAGCGCTTGATTTCCTGAGTGGCATCTATCAAATAAATGGATTTGCACTGGCTTAGGAGTTCCTGTCGTGCTGATGACCTCTATATCTAAGGCTCCTGTACAGGGCACGTAAAGGGAGCTGTAAGCAATTCACATATGGATGGAGCTCCCTCGCCGCCCTAGCCCACCCCACCTCTAGCTGACACTCGGCAGCATATTTTGAATGGCTGCTTGGTGCGAGAACTGACAGTGCTGTGCTAGGGGGAGGCTGAGGAGCCTCTCGCCTAGAAAAGTGGAAGTCACGCGGGGATCCACTAAAAACGAGGTCACAACCCACCAGATGAGAAACAACGGTGTAGAGGAACTTGAGTGGCCTGCACAGAGCCCTGACCTCAACCCTGTGATTAGTAAAAATGGAGTAGCACAACAGAGCTCATCTATCCTCTGGTTTATTCCCGGACGTTTGAGTGGCTTCTCCTATTGCTCCTCCCTTTCCCAGTCTAAGTGCTTCTGTATAGGGGATTTCAGGAGGCTGATATAAAGACAGATGTACTTCCAATAGCTGCATTTCAAACTCCATTTGATTCATTGATGTTTTTTTAAATCCATGCAGCACATAGATGTGCACTAGCCAGTAGCCACATAATTGAATGAGACTTATAATTGCATTTGCATGCAGTAAAACCATAAGTGTTAGAACATCGCAGGAACGTTCTGAAAACTTGATTTTTTTTTTTTTAAATGCAACTCTGTCTATAGCCAGTTTAAGACTACACTTCTAATGATGTTTAGTATGTAATCTTTTAATTGGTAGGCATTTCTTTTCATCTTTTTTTAGGGTTTAAAGTATCCTGGTATGTTCAGCTTTGCACCCAACAGACCTGGAGAAATCTTTCTCTTAGATCTGAACGATGAACACCTTCGGCCATCTTCACTACGTATAAGCAGAGGTTTTGACCTCTCCTCCTTTAGCCCTCATGGACTAAGTATATACATTGATGAAAATGGTATGTACAGCTACATCAGTTAACTTAATTGTAATTTTCATTTACATAACATAAAGAGGTTTTTTTCGAGTTGACAAAAGGTGAACTGGGCAGACTTAAAGGAGAATTAGGAGGTGAGTGATTTTCACTCAGCCTCATAATCTGAGCCGACCTGTGACAATTAAATTGTCACAGGTCGGCTCAGTAGATCGGGAAGTGAGCGAACACATACTGGCACTAGCTCACTTCTCGATCTATCCGTGCATAGAGCCGTGACTGTCACTCACGGCTCCCTGCAGGGACTGACTGGCGGGAGGGGGCGGGTACAGCTGGCTCTGCCTCCTAGATAGGCAGAGCCAGCTGTCACACAGCTGGGTGGATCCAGACCAAATTGTCGGGATCCGTTCCGGCTGCGGCGTCTCAGTATACTGAGCTTAGGTTGACGGGAGGACGCTAGTTTGTGTCCTCCTGTTACCCTTAGGAGAACTATGGGGAAAAACACTGACCCCATAGTTCTCCTTTTAAAGGAGAACTATGGGGGTTAAGGCTTTTCCCCATAGTTCTCTTAGGGTAACGGGAGGACACAAACTAGCGTCCTCCCGTCACCCTAGGCACCGCAAGCTGCTGCTCATGGTATACTAAGACGCCGCAGCTGAAGCGGATCCCGACAATTCTGTCTGGATCCGCTCAGCTGCGTGACTGACAGCTGGCTCTGCCTACCTAGAGTCAGAGCCAGCTGTACCCGCCCCCTCCTCTGTCCGTTCCGCCAGTCAGCGCTGGCGGAGCGGGGAGGGGGGAATCCAGCAGAGATTCATGTCAGAGTCATGGCAGAGAGCCGTGGCAGGATCGAGAGGTGTGCGAACGCCGGTATGTGTTCGCTCACCTCCCGATCTACTGAGCCGACCTGTGACAGTCTCATTGTCACAGTTCGGCTAGAACTATGAGGAGAGTGAAAAGCACTCACCTCATAGTTCTCCTTTAATAAAAAATGTTTGAGATTTCAGTGCAATGTTGGCCGATTACTCCAAGAATTCATCAGATTAATGGCTTTCTGGTCATTTGTGAGACTCCATTCACACCAGGGCGACAGCGTTCCAGCGCGCTTTACTTTATAAGCGCACTTTTGCTGGTTTTTTTTATGCGCATTTCAGCATGTTTCTCTCCCGTTCATTGAAGGACACAGGCAAACAGATCGTAGATCCTGAATGGTAGGGTAATATCGCCACCTGCAGGAGAAGGACGCTAGGCACAAAACTAAAGACCAATTAAGACGCCTTTTCCTCCACTGTATCTTTTGCCTCGGCTGCTGCGTCGGATCGCGTTCGAGGGCGTCACTGTTGTCCTCGTGGCCCCGGATTGGCCTCGGGGGGCGTGGTACGCGGACGAGGTCCAGCTGGTGGTGGACGCCCCGTGGCGTCTGCCTCTGCACCCCGATCTTCTGTCCCAGGGGGCTGTGTTCCATCCTTCTTTACAGTCGCTGGCTTTGACGGCGTGGCTATTGAGAGCCAGGTCCTGAAGGACCGGGGGTTGTCCGATGCGGTCATATCCACTATGCTCAGAGCGCGCCCAGGGCATTTTCTGTTCCTAAGCAATAGCGTTTTAAGGCTTGTTTTACACTTGTCCAATGAAAAGCACAAAAAACATGCTTATCAACGCATTTACATTGAAGTCTATGGAGCAAAATGGGCTGATAAGTGCCACGAAAGAGGCTCAGGGACTATTTCAAACACTAGGTGTATTTTTTCCCACGTGATTCAGCGCATTTGTGTGAACGACCCCCATATGAATACATGGGACTTTTTGTTGCATATGTTTCAGAACAAAAAAAAAAAAAAACGCGCGATGAAACACCCTGGTGTGAACGGGGCTTAAGACACATTTGGCAAGAGGAAGGAGCTGGAGGAGGAGAAAGCATGGCCTGCTTTTTTTCTTCTCCCTAGCACTGGCTTACCACTCCTGACTTTTATGTAACAGACATGCTGTTGTTGCTATTCCTCTCAGCCTACAGTGACATAGTTGGAAGGAACACCAGCAGCCTGGAGACCTGGCAGGGAAACTGATTAGCCGGAGTCTTTGGGCAAGAACCAGAAAGTTCCAAGCTATGATTTGAAGACCTTTCAGTTTTTATTGCTCTCTGTGATCCTAACAGTTATGCAACAGAACAGGAAGTTAAGGAAAATCTCTCCCCCGCCTGTCGATTTGATGGGTGTCAGAGAAAGTGGCAAGTGGGGGTTTTAACCACACTTACTACTTTCTCTGACACCCATGTGCCCTCGTAGGACAAATTTGGCAAGAGGAAGGAGCTGGAAGAGAAGAATGCACAGCTTTCACTTCCTCCTCCCTTCAACTCTGCTTCTGTAGGCTGAGAGGAATAGCAACAACAGCACCATTATGCCTATTTGTTAAAATCCGGATGCTGTAAGCCGGTGCTAGGGAGGAGAAGAAAGCCTGGAGGAGGTGCACGCTATGCGTTCTTTTCTTTCAGCTCCTTCCTCTTGCCAAATATGTCCCGGACCCACAGCCAGCAAAAAAATAAGTTTTATAGTACAGTAAGAAGGGTTTAGAGCTTCTTGTCTGTATCGCCAAATGGAATTTTCCCCTAATTTCCTGTCCAGATGACAAATGTTAGACAGAATGAGAAAAGAAATGGAGAAATTATCTGACTTCACCAACTTTTACTGGAAAAAGCTGCTTGTTTCATTGAATAAAAGCTTACAAGAAAGTTTTGGTAGAAAACCGGAATGATACCTCTAGACAACTCATCCCTGCAGAGGGAGTACAATATACAGTCCTACGAATCTTCTCTACATCAGTAACACCATCTCCAACCCCAATTTTCTCCTTTCTTCCTTTCAGATGACACGGTATACCTGTTCGTGGTGAATCATCCTCACATCTCTAAGTCCACCGTGGAGATATTTAAATTTGTGGAGGATGAAAATGTTTTGGTGCACCTGAAGACAATTAAACATGCAGCCCTTTACAGGTAAGCAGAATGCTTTACAAGTCTGGAGTCCTACAGATCTCATCTCATAGGAATTTTTGACGAGCACTTTTGGTAAAAAGCGGGGCCCCGCCCCCTCCTGACTTTCCATAAGGCTTCCCATCTCACTTATTGGTCACTAGGGAGGGGGCAGGACCAAGCTGTCAATCACTTGAGTAATCTAGTATGATTTTTTTTAAATTACTTTCTGCCCTCTGTAAAGTTTGTAATTATGTATTCAACTTGTATTTTGTCTTTTAACAATGATACTTCCTTCAAAATATATATTTATATATATATATATATTTTTTTTTACATGCCTTTGCAGTGTGAATGACATTGTCGCTGTCGGACCCGAAAGCTTTTATGCCACTAACGATCATTACGTCACGGATTTCATCCTGAGATTTGTGGAAATGTTAGTCGGGCTAAGGTGGACGAACGTCGTGTATTACAGTCCTAGTGATGTCAGAGAAGTGGCAACCGGGTTTTATAGTGCCAACGGTATTGCCATGTCAAATGATAAAAGGTATGTAACACCTTATGCATTAAAATTGAAGTCTTTATAGCCTAGGCCCACCCTTCCCCGCATGCAATGTTTGATCATTTTTTAGTATACATTGCCTTTTTTGTCTTTTAGAGGTCTTCTGGCTGGTCACATGACTGACAGGGTCCTCTTTTTCCTATCATTTTGTCCATTTATGGCGGTCCCCAATGATGCAGGGAACAGACTTCAAAATTCCAGCGCTGTTCATTTGCATAATTGTATTATGAGTGTAGGGCACCAGGGGATGTGTCCATGACACCCTTCACTTACAAGATAGAATAGGAAGGGGCAGGAACCTATGTTAAGTTTCTAATGCTGTCTCCCCAATGTTCCAGTTTAGACAGTTACCTAAAGAACAGACGTCCCCATTGGAAGATTTCATATCACTTCCTGTCCTGGCAACAACTTTTAACTTTTGGCTCTCCCATCTCTTTCTGTCCCAGGAACAAAGTTCACCAGGACAATTGGAGGGGGTGAATCAAAAACCTGATAAAGGCTCTAACCCTTCTACATCTCCATTGCATTCCCCACTTAGGCTTGACAAAGAGGCAGAGCCTTGAAACGCGTAGCCGCCGGCATTTGACACTGCCCCTGTCCATCTCCTTCCATCACCTTCGTTTTTTTTTGTTTTTTGTTTTACACCCTCGAGACACGCTCGTATTGACTCCGTGGGTCCCCGAACAGTCCGGCATTTGACATCACCGTATATCCACACAGCCGCGGCTCAGCCTGGCCAGCTGAGACCGCGGTGTTCAAACGATCACCCCTGACAGCTATCAGACTGCTCTCCGGCATCTCTAGACGAGCTGACACGCCATATGCCGACATCAGTAACGTGAGTGGGTTTCTTCAGTAGTGGCGCTTTTTCATTCTTGTGATTTTATTCTAACCCTTCTACACTCTATCCAAAATAAAAATTAAAGGGCCCACACACTTACAAAATGCAAATGCATGCCATGTGTTGTGTTGTGCTGTGTTGCTACAAAAAAATCGTGTGTATTTTTTTTTTCTTCATTCTTTGCGGGGCCTTGGTAGTCTATTAGTAATAAACGGGCTGCCATAATGAAACACACATTTATACGTGCTGTAACACACTTTAACACAGTGCATTGGAACGTTCGAGTGTGACTAGGCCCTAAAAGTTATTTTGTAATTTGTCAGCATGAAAAATAAATGTATTCTCTTTAAAATAAGCAAACCTCCATAATTACAACATCGGTATATTCCATGGTCAAAAGTGTGAATGACAAATATCTCAAAGATGTGTAATGAAGATTTGACCATTGAATATATCAATGTTGTAATTATGGATGTTTGCAGTCTGCTTCATACTGTATTACATTACTGTTTATTCAGATTATGACATCATTATGACGTCACACGGTACAGCAGGCAATGGGATTGGTCTGTGTTCACCTGTTGTATATCATGAGGTGGTTTCACTTGCATTTGTATCACTTGTTTCTGCCTGCTGAAGGGGATCCTGTAAACGTTGCACTGAGTGTATTTTGCTATGCAGCATATACATTAATAAATAGACGTACTTGATTTGCTTACTGGAGTGCCGGTGTCCATTCTTCTATCTATGTATTAACGTGATGCCATCTGTCGACAGCCGCTGCACCCACTTTGGATTTATGGAACAGCGGTTCTGAGTGCGATGGGTATATGGACTATATCTTAACATAGGATTGTATGGACACAATACACTGTACACAGTGTACACTATACGTGTGTAAACTGAAGTACCAGCATTTGCATTCACATGGATGTAAGCTCCCGAATGCGGTTGTGAGCTCATGCTCATACATGTTCATGTAAACGCTGGCTCTTGCGATGTGCCAATAAAGAAACCACTACAGTGTTTCTTTTATTATTTAATACTTCACATTTTGTGTCTCTGCAGGTTCATCTACGTTGCTGATGTCACTGGGAAAACAATAAATGTGTTGGAGAAACATGCAAACTGGTCCCTATCGCCAGTAAAGGTAATTAATGTCACCAGAGAATTGGAACTCCAGGCAAACACCTGAAATACCTAATGTGTAAATTGTTCTACTTGCTAAATTATTTATCTTCTGCCAGTAATGTGATTCTCACGTCCCAGGAGCGATGCATAGTTAAGGCATGTGACAGTACTATTTCCTATCTGTGTCCAGTGTCACCTCTCCACCTTTAGCCAGCTCAATGGGCAATGAATCGGCATCGTAAGTTGATGTTATCTTCATGACTATGTGGTGTGGCAGAAGAGAAGCAGAGTGTGAATTACAAGACTGGCAGAACAACAGAAGCTTCTTGAGTAAAGATACAGAGGTTTGGCAAATGACTGGTGACTTGTAAAATACAGTCATAAAATGTACATGTGCCTAGAATATGAACTTTAAAGCTTTATATATTAACAAGCAACAAAGGAGCTTTAACACAAGGTATCACTGACCTTAGTAGCCTCATATACTGTGAAGTAATTCATTCTTAAAGCTTAAACTGACCAAAAAAACCTTGCAGTGGGGCTCCTTTCTTTCTTTCTTTCATTATGTTTTCATATTTCTTCGTATACATGCTTGCAGGGATAAAGTAGCAAGGATTTATATTTTAATATATTCACAGTAATCGTCTGTGTCTAGTATTTGGTTTGCATGTCTATGGCGTATCTTGCCATAGACATAAGTCCAGCCCTACCTCCTTCCTCCCCCCTTTCTGCTGCTAACCCTGCTGGCCAGTTGGCCTTAGGACAGTTCTAACAGCATCAGACATGATAGCTACACCAGGTGAGTCAAGGCTGGCAGCAGGAGAAGCAGAGAGAGCCTGTTTGCTCCACTCTTGTCAGTAAACCTGGAACTATAAAAGAGTAGGAAAAACATTTATCTGATTCTGCTAATAATTTGATTTTGTGTATACAGGCCTGGCTGTGTGGCAGCCCTTGAGCCTTGCTTGTCCTAGGCCATGGCTTACACTCTATGATCTATGATCTGATGGTCAAGTTTGTGGACTTCTGACCATCACACCTATATGAGCTCATTGGATATCTCATTCCAAAAACAAAACCAGCACACAGCCATGCAATCCCAATCCACAAACATTAGCATACAAATACATTTTAGATGATCGTGCTCTTCCAACCTTGTGGAAACACTTTGGTGAAAGACATTTTCTGTTCCTGCTTGACTGTGCCCCTGTGCTCAAAGTCAACTCTAAAGACATGAAAGGAAAAGGTCTGACACCCTCCTGAAGCCCCGCAGGTTTCTCTTTCTCACTGGGTGCATTGTCGCATAAAGAGCTTGTTTCTGGTCTCTGTATGCTATTGAACACAAGACAAAGAAGGTGACTGCACACCAAAATGTCACAAGACCAAGATAAATGTATTGCTCCAGATGCACAATATGCTCCTCGCTGAGATTTCACCCTCTCTAATGTGTTTCACCCAAAAGAGGTTGAGGAGAAGGGAGTACACTTCTACACATATTGCCCTCCATCATACCCCCTGCTTTCTTCTCTTGCATATACTGCTCACCATCCTACCATCCACACTCCTCTCCTGCACATACAGCCCATCATTAGACACCCGGCCCTAATATCTTGAAGACATACTGGCAGCCACCATCTCCTCTGTACTCCTTTTGCACATAATGACTACTAATACAGTTCTTTAGCATTCTTTGTAATATCCCCAACCTTGCCTGTTCTAAAACAGGCACATTTTTGCTAGTTATGATACAGCCAAATATTTTATTGTTTTCATTGTGGTTGTCTGGAATTCTCGCACCAGTTCTAACCGTTACCCCAACATGAATCCTCCCTGTAACACTTATCCTCCCTGTTACCATAACACTAATACTTCTGTAACACTATCCTTCCCTGTAACACTAATCCTCTCTGTATCCCTAACACTATCCTTCCCTGTAATTCTCCCTGTTACCCTGCAACGACTTTCCCTGCACTCCTTACAGTAACCATTTCCCGTCCGGCCTTTGTGTGTGTGTATGTATGTATATATATATATATATA